TTTATTGTCAACTATTTGCCTGTACTATTTTGTCCTACAATTTTTACCAGGTCGTGAAATTTCTCTGATTGCAGGATTTTCCCTGGTGGTGCTAGCAGTGGGGGTGGCTACTGAATTTTTGTCGATTTGCTATATTGCGAAGGCGGCAACATTGTCGAAGCAATTTAAGAGAAAGTGTTTCGCATTTTATGGTCACGATAAGGTTAAAAGAGCGATGGTTGGCGTGTTACGGCCGCTTTCGATAAATTTGGAATGGCTGAGATCAGTTGATACGATTGAGCATGGGGTCGGGTTGGATTATTTTTTGAGATATGTAGAACGAGTGGGATCCCATACGGTTAGTTTGTTGCTGGCAGGGAAGTAAGGCATTTATGTACATAAACCTACTTATATAATATATGTATAAGTTACATATTATGTATGTACATATGTAACTAGATTTATGCATAACTCACATTATTCTGTAATCATAAACGTTTCGTGAAATTTGGGTCTTAACAATAAATATACTTGAATTTTGGACATATAAGTTCTCGAATAATCCCTAAATCTTAAAACGGACTCCAACGGTTAGATTAAGGTTGTCATGATAATAGGCTTAATAAACATAATACATAAATGAGAGGACAATAGTACGAATATTTGTATGCTCGTATTTACATATAAATATATTGGGAAGTAGGAATTGTTATAATTTCGCATTGCACAAATGTACTAATTTTAAGTAGTTATGCACCTTATTTATATAACACATTAATTACTCAAATTTGTAAAATTCAAAATTATCCCGACTTATAAAAGTTGTCTAAATTCAGACTTATGTATTGCCGTCCAATGTATGTACATATTTGTACATGCATATCACTTCTACACAACCTCGGCTCAGTTCTACATCAATACCCAGACCACTAAATTCTATTTCACAAAATTTATTGAAAAACTTAAAATGTGGAGCGACACGGCGATTCACTATTTTCGGCGAGCCATCCTTTCCGCTCAGTTCAGTTCTTGCTTTATGTTCTCCATCTTAGAATGGAACGAGAAAAAAGGCAGAGCGATAGCTTGTCGCCAAAATTCGTGGCAATTTCGAAACTTCCAAATTTATACGGGCATCATGACACTGCTCGTGGGGCCGGTCTTTGTAGCAAAAGCTTTGCAAATCTTAACATCCACGAAACAGGGGGAGCATCCAGACTTGCAATTATTTCTGCTTGTATGTATGTATTTTGGGAGGAGGGCTCCTCTTGTTGGAGGAGCCCACTGCTCAGATCATCCATCAGATCTATTGCATATCCTCTTACTTACACCGTATGACAGTGGCTATCTAGTTGCTCAGGTATAATCCCCATATCTATTGATGAGATATGGGGATCGAGAAACCATTTAAGGATAGTAAGACAGGAAGAGACGCCGGCTTGCCGTAAGCACCACCACTCACCCCTGCACTTACGGGGCCAGTCCCACTCCGCCTATCCTCTACCCACCACTGCCTATTCAATCTTAATGTATGCCCCTTTGGACGCGAATACTGCCACGGAAAGGCAGCATGCTCAGTCCACTCTACTGAGTGTCCAGCTACAATGTGTGCAACTGGCACCCAGGGAGGGCTGTCCCAGCTGCCGAGATATGAGGGATCGAACCATAGACCTTCCGAGTGCCGAAAGCCACCGGTTCTCACCCCCAAGCCAAACAGCCAGGGCATTATTTCTGCTTACTTTGCTCTCTACGGATTTTGTCGTTATTTGCGTCCAGTATTTGTGGGCCTTATCAAAACCGGAGGGCCCAGGAAGGCTCGTTACTTGTAATGAAGCCGCCTTTCGCGTTGACCACGAGATACAAGGTTACATACATACAAAATTACCTTCCATTTGAATATTCGGAGCCTAGTAATAAAATTAGAACTAACTAATACATAGAATTTTTCTATTGTTACTATTTAGAATTATTTTCGCCAAAGAAGAATCTCAAGAAAAAGCCCAAATTTTTAGGAGACATTGTAGTCTCACTTGCCTATTTCTACTTGGACTTCGTAGTTCCCCCACTTCTAATCTACATCAGCTTTTTCATGCCGCTCATCAACCCACTATATAGCGTTGTCCAACATTACCCCGGGTCTATAAAGATCTTATCCCAAATCTTGACCTGCATCTTCTTCAACGCCCTCCTTCACATCTCCACGCTCTGTTTGTTATCCTTCCTCACCGGAATATTTATCACTCTTCAGGCCATTAATTCCTTAAACTCCTCAGTTGAATTAAATCACCTTAAAAAACAGTTCCAACTCGGGCTCGGATTCGAAACGGGGATCAAAATATATCAAAAAATTAGCATTCTAACAATCATTGAGTCCGAATTTGCGCGTGGTTTAATAGTTCCCGCTGTACACCATTTTCATCTCGTTGTGTTTTCAACTATTGGCCTGTATTATTTTATCTTACAATTTTTACCAGGGGGTGAAGTGTTTCTCTAGTAGTTTTTACAGTTTCCCTGGTCACACTAGGTGTGGGCATGTCGGGTGAATATTTTGCGATATGTTACATCGCGAAGGCGGCTACATTATCGAATGAGTTTAAGAGAAAGAGTTTCATATTTTATGGTCGTGATAAGGTTAAGCGGGCAATGATTGGAGGTTTGCTGCCAATTTCGATAAATCTAGAAATGCTAAGGTCCGTGGAAACGATTAAGCATGGGGTGGGAATGGAATACTTTTTAAGGTATTTGGAAAGAGTTGAAAATCATACGGTGAGCCTGTTACTCTCCGGGATATAAATCTGAGGTGTGGTTCAAGTAATATGTAGATAGCTTGTTTTAAGGCAACAAATTCTTTATTATCAGAACATTATGTTGAAAAGTGATGCCAATTATTACCAGGGCGGGTTGAGTAACCCAACTTGAGTCACATATGTACTGTCGAATTTTTATAGCCGGGCACCTCATTTGTATATGTAGATGCATTCGCGAGAGACATAGAGTTTATTCAACATGAAAAGCCCGTATCGCCGAAATTGGGCATAGTGAGATTTATGCAAATGAGGTGACACGCCTAAATACGAGGATAGTAAGTATGTATATACTCAGGTCAGAAATGATTTAATTCCACTTTTCTAAAAGTGCATATTTATACGGCGACTTTTATTCATATTCATTGGACTACATATATGCCTGTATATTACATAAATAAGTAGATACATAAATACATAAATTTACATACTCATCGTCATATATGTAGGCTATATAACGATGAGTATGTAAATTTATGTATAAATGCATGTAGATGGACGACAAAATTTGTAGTGCTACACAATGCCACTAGTATAATTGGGTATGAATTTGTGTTAATTGCGTACATATAAAAACAAACTCGTATATAGTTACATATTTATGTAATTGAGCTGCAAGAAAATGTCAAGCCATTTAAATTACTAGTTGTATAAATGCACTATTTAAATTACAATTGATTTAAATGCATTATATATTTGAATGTCAGAGCCTTTTAATTATCTTATGACCTAATTACTAGTGACCTAATGACTAATTTCTGTGTCGACCCGAGAAAAACTAATGAATAAGCCACCTATTTCCCACTTTACAATTTACAAAGTCCAAATAACTTACCCTCCATCCTATCCTTCCTGTGTTAATTATAACATGGCGCATATCACGTCACAGGAGGAGGATGGGGTTCCCCGAAAATCGACCACACATTCTTTACGTACGGCCCCTTTTAGAAATTTGTTAGTCGTCTGTATAGAATGCTATAAACGTGTTTATGTAATTACTCATGCCGCCACCCTTGTAAAGGTTTTCCTATTGCAGACACATTCCGAAGACCCTAATGTATGTATGTAATTGGTTAAAAGAATTCAATTTCATGCGAACAAGTTTTAAAAATTTTCTCAATAATTTCTGAACGAGATACATATGTATTCCTCCGAATTATGCAATTTGCTAAACCTCACCACAAAATTGTGTTCTTTCTTTGGCGTGATTACTTTCACGTTTAACGTCAAAAGTAAAAAGTTCGTATCCAATCGTGCCCTTCGGCGGCGACAATGGTCCGCATTTTCTCTGGAGTTTGGGGTTGCACTGGGCATTCTTTTTCGAACGCTTCAGACCATTCGAAGAGGAGAGTTTGATGTCACTGCGAGAAATCAGGTCCCATTCTGTTGCGCATTTTTATTCGCTATGGTATGCATTCTTGTTCCGCTAGGAATTCTTTGCATTTATCGAGACACATCAGTTTCCGCCTGGAATAAGGTTATGGATTACAACATTAATTTTAAGCGTAAGCTGTTTGAAAATATGCTCTAAATAAAGTCGTGTAACATTTATCCCACGTATATGTAAAATTCCTGGAATATGTGTACAAACGGAAAATTTGCGTACGCCGCTAAATTTCAATTACATGTACATAATTGAAAAAGTTTTGTGAAATTTATAAGTTCTATAGATTTTTGCAAAATTTACTAATATTTTCAAGGAAGATTTTGGTCGCCTTACTCAGATTAAGCGCGTCCCTTTATTTTGTAAAAGTCTGCAAAATTATTTTGCGTATCTCGCAACTTGAGCATAACTTTCGAAGGTTTGCGAAAGTTGCAAGATTTTTAAAAACTACGGGATTTTGTTTTCGAAAATTTACTAAGAAAATGGTCATATTCCTATTCTGAGTCTTTTCTGAATAAAGCATCGACTGCACTTAGGTGTTTTATGAATTAGTACGACGATATGTAAAATGATTTCATGGATATGTGCAAAAATGCAATAAAAACATTCCAACACCCAAAATTATGTATAATAAATACATATGCATAAAAACTAAATTGTTGAAATTTTGGAACGGAGACCTACATAATATTCCTCTGGTACATAATTACGCACCTTGTCCTATTTAATGTACGGGACACGACCTCCGTGTTTATCAAAAAATTGGTATTTAGTAATCACGATAATTTCAAATTTGAAAATTTTAGTAATTTTGTGAATTTACTTCTGATCAGATTATTGTCCAGCAAATACATATCTCTTGAGGCCAGGGTAATCTTTAAAATTAATAGGTACAAAAATACCCCAAATCTAAATACACACATCGACGTAGTTATATAAATATTGCTCACTGCAACTAAGTCCGCAGTCTTTTCACTCATTCCTTAAAGACGAAGTCTGTCCAAGTATATATTTCGCAAAATTATGTGGAACGACGTGGCGCTACGTTATTTTCGACGTGCTGTGCGCTCCGCTCAGCAGAATTCAGGCTTCACTTGCTATACTTTAAAATGGAAGGAGAACGATGGGAGAGCCGTGGCTTGCCGTAAAAATTCGTGGCAGTTTAGAAACTTCCAGATTTATACGGGCATCATGACCTTGTTCGTGCTGCCGGTCATTTGCGGTAAAACGTTTCAAATTCTGACATCATCGGAACAGGGGGGAAATCCAGGCTTGAAAGAATCCCTCGCCACGTTCCTCGCCACCGATGTGATCTTCATTTGTATTCCGTATTTGTTGTTTTTGTCTAACTCGTCTTCCCCTAGAAAGCTGATAATTTGCTATGAAGCTACTTTCCTCCTGGGTAAACAGATACAAGGTGGGTAACTTCAGGTTGTCGTGACACACGCTTAGAAATCCGGTATTAAATTAGCACCAAGCGATATTCATGTATGTATGTATGTATGTATGGCACTCATACCCGTGCAGCTTCACTCAATTTAGGTAGATTCTCTTCCGGTCCCATAAAATATATCACTTTTGCAAACATTACAGGTCACTTTGCTGGAATTTGTAGAGCTCTTCTTGAAGTATGTCCGCACAAGGGATCTTTTGTTACCATTCTCCATACCTGCATAATATACTTGTATTATTTGTTCAACTTAAGAGGCTATTTATTATCTAATTTTTAGAATTTTTAAACATGGTACGTATTTACTTATTTGCGAGATTCCATTCCCATGCCCTGGTGGTGAGGATAATTCGCCTTCAGGAACTTCAATATTTTCTTCTTGGTGGGACATATTGCCCGGATTGTTATTAGTTATCCTGAAAAATTTAACCGATTTAAATATAATAATTTGATTAATGTTTAATGAATGAAAATTTGCTTCATACCAACTCTCCAAACAATTCTGGTAAACATAGAATATATTGTTGAATTGATACACTCAAACTAGTTGAAGATAGTTAAAATTCCATTTATTCAGTCATGAAAGTGAGAAATTTGATCAAGTGTGAAATAATGTGCAGCAAACATGCTGAAGAGGGTAAGAGTATATATACAAAAATGAAAAGGCCGCTTAGTCTACTTTGGGGTAAAAAGATAGTAAAAAAGCTCGGCCGAGTGCAGAAAAAACTCTGCAGAGTTCGAGCTCAGCAAAAATTTGCCGAGTTTGCCGAGTACCGAGTCTAAACGAGTACTCGTTGCAACCCTAGTTTAGATACTAAAATCACCGTGGCCATATGAAAATAGTGAGTCTCATATCACCCCAGGAAATTCTCGCATTGCCCCAGCGTCGTCTTACATTACCTAAGCCAAGTCTCACACTACCCCAGCTCAGTCTCACATTGCCCCAGCCCAGTTTCACATTGCCCCACTAGATGGCGCCAAAATACTTAAATCATGACAACGCGAGGCACTTAATTGCATGAAAGAAAGAGTGAGGAAAATAGCTGAGTGAGGGGAATGAGGAAGTGAAGGGATTGAGTAAAGTGAGTGAGGGAGTGAGGCATGGCTGTTGCGGGACTCAACCCTAATGCAACGAAGCAACCCCCAAATTTCGGTCGTTCATGTACTATATGTCTCAAACCTCACGTGGGAGCAATCATAAGGGTTCGTATTTTTGAATCCCTTGATATTATCTTTCGAATGACACCATTTTTGAGGGGGGTGAAGAGGACACATTTGTCGTCCATATGACCTGTGACCTTCAAGGTTATGACCTAGGACCTTACACCTACATTTTCCTACAAGTTCGTATTTTATATAAATTTTCGAAGCAACTTCAAAAATACGAACCCTTATGATTGCTCCCACGTGGGGTTTGAGTCATGTAGTACATACGACCGAAATTTGGGGGTTGCTTCGTTGCATTAGGGTTGACTCCCGCAACAGCCATGGGGAATGAAGGAGTGAGAATCAGATTTGTCAGTGAGTGAAGCCTCACTCAGCCTTCCTTCACGCGAGTGAGGGGAGTGAAGGGCAACTTGACTCGAGGTGAAAATGAGTGAAGTTGAATGAAGGCATTTTCACTTGCACAGGTATGATGGCACTACGTCAGAGTATTTTTCAAATTGAACCGTCTATGCATATCTGTACTTAAGTTTTACCATGCCTGTAGAACATTTTCAAGGATCAGTAAAATTTTAATAGTTATGCATATGTATAGCGCCTTTGACTCTAAGGGGCCATCCATAAATTACTTAAAGCAAAAATCGCGATTTCCTAGCCCCCTTTAACATGTGTCACATAGGCACGATTAGAGCGTTAGACGCATTCCCTCTCGGGTTACGTAATTTATGGACGCCTCCTAATCCAGATACATCGATACCTGCTTAACGATAACTACATATACCCGATTTCTAACCGTGTATTGATAGTATTGAATACATACGTTCATTACAAAATATATATTTTAGCACTACTTTCGCCAAAGAGGAACCCTAAAGACGAATCCAACTTTATCGGAGATAAAATTTTCAACGGGATTTATATATGGCTGGACTACATAGTTCCACCAATTATTGTCTACACAAGCATCTTTGAGCCGCAAGTAAACCCTCTTTACAACTTCGTCTTACATTTCCCCATTCCTGTCAAGGCCTTTGTCCAAATCCTGACCTGCCTTTTTGCCAATATCATGCTGTGTAACGTCATGCTCTGCCTGTTATGCATCTTCAACGGAATACTTGTCACCTACCTGTCAATTAATTCCCTCAACTCATCAGTCGGATTAAATTACCTCAAGAAACAAGTCAAACTTAAACTCGGATTCGAAACGGGGATCAAAATATATCAAAAACTTGGCATTCTGACGATCGTTCAATCCGAATTGGCACGTGATTTAATAGTTCCGTGTCTCCACCATTTCCATATGATTGTGCTGTCAACTATTTCCCTGTACTATTTCATCCTACAGTTTTTACCGGGTGGTGAAATTTCTTTGATCGTTGGGTTTTCACTGATTGCGTTGGCTGTTGGGGTGGCCACTGAATTTTTGTCGGTATGCTATATTGCGAAGGCGGCTAAAGTATCGAACGAGTTTAAGAGAAAGTGTTTCGCATTTTATGGTCAAGATAAGGTTAAGAGAGCGGTGATTACGGTGATGCGGCCACTTTCGATAAATTTGGAATAGCTGAAATCAGTGGACACGATTGAGAATGGGGTGGGGTTGGATTATTTTTTGAGGTATTTGGAAAGAGTGGGTGATCATACGGTTAATTTGTTACTGGCAGGGAAATAGTTTGCGCTGAGTAAATGGCGGGTATGGAGTAGAATTACGGTAGCGGGTCAGCTCATTTGCATACATCTAACCCTTGTCACCACTGTCACATTCTGAGTACTTACATAAATTAATGTATATTTGCATACGTACCCAACATGCTATAAGAATCGTTTAAATGTCCGGGCTCTTTATTTAGGCTTGATGAAAAATTATGCATCACAAATGAATTTCCGAGTTTACAATTGGCTCGTTTGATGTTATATTTTTGCCATCTTTTAAGTACGTAGTTTTGTTCATGGAATGTAACGGCTGATCTACATAAATACATCTACGTGGATATGTATATGTAACACAATTTAAATTTTAAAAATGTATCACAAGCTTTGCTTTAAATACATAAATCCAGCATTTGAAATATTTGTAGATAGATATGTTCACAATATACAATTCATTGTTGTCACAACTTCGTACAAACAAGCTTTTAATTTAGCACATCTATGTAACTAAAAATAATTATATTTGTGAGCTGTTCGATATGCATTTTGTCATCACAACCTCGAATTAAACATCACACACAAAACCAAGTGCGTTCTAAATGGCAGCAAATAGTTAAGAGGTTTAAATGTCGTCATAACTTGGTGGCACTGAAAGTAAAAATAACACTAAAGAGTATCATCCATACGTTCAGACAATTAGTGCACATTGCATTAATAAATCTTACAAGTTTCTAGCGACACCATGGAAACCGCTCGGGAGGGAAGGGTGGAATAACTGGGTGGGAAGAGGGACATCATCGACCCCACGAGTGATCCCACCCGCATTCTGGGCGCTGTCGGCGTTTCAACTTCGTTTAATGCGCCCTCATCGCTCGGTGCTGAATGATCGGATTCCCTGGGAAGCCATGGTGTCGAATCGGGGAGGCCTATTCTTAAAGCGACATCAATTTGGACTGCATCACTCTTTCCGTTCAGTGTGGTGACTCGTACCTAAATACATACATAAATTTATGTAATATGAACTTGTTTATGAAATTGGTTAACTTTTAGCCCTATTATAAATACTAGATAGATGAAAGATTTGGTGCAGTTTTTACTTTTAAATTATGATGTACATAATAAATACAGTGTATAACTTGCAATTTATAAGTAGACTTCGTGTCATTTTCCAAATTATCAAACAAAATCAACACTCCTTTTACAAGCCAGTGTCAAAATTTTGGGATTCCAAAATTATTACGAAAATAAGGTAATCCGCCAATATTAAAATTCGGGAGATAAACTTAAATAAAGCGACTTGATTTTTTTTTATAAGTCGACTTATCTCATGAAAAAGACGTCATGCATAAGTTACGTAATAAAAGTCATGCTTGCACTAATCCTAAGTCTGCATATTTATGTTTGTAGATAATTGTTGTAACCTGTATAAGATATCGTATCCTTAATTTCGGTTCATCTTCCATCTTAATGGTATGAATTTTGACCTTTGCCGTCGCAAATTTTACACTCCTCGTAAATCGTTCTCTTTTGAGAAACCGTTTGAACGTTTTGCAATGTACGATTTCCGTTGTTGAAATCAGAATTTTATCCGAAGTGTAAGAAATAATCCTGGTCAGCCAAACGGTGACGTTTTTTAGGGATCCTTTCTTTTCTCCAAATTGGCCAGATATGGTACATGGGATGATTTCTCCAATAATGAAATCAGTCCGGGGTACTTGTACAGAAATCTTGACACCGTCGAGATCAATATCCTTTTCGGTGGGTGGGCCATTACCAGGGTTTACTATCCCCTGTCCCGGGTAGTGGATTTCCTTTGACGTGAGTTCTCGTAAAATGTTGGGATGCTTATTGTGTTGGGCAAGAACGCGGAGAAAGTAGGACACTTTTCCCAGGGAGCAGTCGAAATTGGGTGGGAGATGGACATTTTGGGGAATTGGGAGGTGAAAAGTATACTTAATTAGATCAGGGGATGGTAACGGGGTAGGAAAACTTTTTTGGCTTGTCGACCAGAATTGATGTTTTCTGGGATTAGGGAGGCAATAAGTGGTGGATAACTCCTTATCGGAGCGGGATGAAGTTGATACTGAGATTTCTTTGTGTTGCCGTGCTTCAAAAATTCCACTGAGCTCTACGATAAGTGCTGCAATAATTGAAAAATGGCACATAATTATTTAGAGACAGTTGATCTATAATAATAATACCATGTCCAGCAAGCTACACTTATTTATAACTTATCACTTACCGTAATTATAATATAGGTAATTATGTGTTCTTGAAATTAGGACCGTGCCGCGAACTTCGTCCCGTTTTGATCTAACTAGACTGATCACGGCAAACTTGCTCATGATAAATAGATGGATTCTCTCTTAACGTGAAAATTTTTTGTGGACAATTGTAAATTTTAAGAATTTCCCCTCTGATGGATCACTAAAAATGAGTAGTGCATCCAAGTATTGGATTTGTTTAGTAGCTAATTATGATTTTCTGAAAATTTAAGATCCAGTTGTTTATTCGGAAGTATTTTTCAAGTTATGGCACATACATACATTTGTTTATTCCTTACCTTATGTATTACTCACCATGTGTGAAGTCACAGACGTCTTAGGATTAGCACGATTATTTTCCAAAAATTATCAGTTTTTTTGCTTCTTAGTATTTAAACACACTTATTTATCAACAGGGAAGACCTGGCGAAATGAGGTGGAAGTTGTATGTACGACGACAACGTGTGTGGGTGAAAATCGATAATTCGGAATGAAACTTGTTTGCGTTTCTGGGCATTCACCCATTCACAATATAAATACTTGGCACATTACAAATATCAGAATATTATCAGAATATTAACTTAAATACTACTGTGGATAAGGGCTGATTAGCCTTATCTACACACATGCATACATGTAATACACATACATACACTGTATTTATAAATATGTGTAGGGACACACATTAAGAAGTCGATGAAGTATAATGCATATGCTGAAAATTTGCCAATACATTTGCCGTTATCATTGCAAATGTGCATAGATTGTACTTGTTGTACCTAATTTACAAAGATACATGCATATACTCTCACTTCTGTGTGGAGCTAGATACATTCAAAGGGTTCACGACTCGGCCACTTTCTCCACATGACAGAAATCTGGAAGAGGAAACGACTATACATCCGTGTAACTAGTTGCCAAAGTGAAAGTTTGTGTGCATGACTTTCTCCGTTCAACCACTCCGTTCTCCAGCTGACTTTCTCCTCGTCGTGGAAGGAAATATTTTTATCGTTTTCTTTCGGTGCTTATCCGTTTTGTACGATCCTCTGAGAATTTATTCATGTCGTTAAGCGAGAAAGTTGTAAATTACTAAATATTGCATTACTCTTTTCATGAAGTGGCAACCATGTCAGTGAAGAGTTGCTTGTTGGGGGTTAATTTTGACCAAAACGTACTAATTTACCAAGCGGCAGGAAATATTAGTGGAAATTTGGTGTTCAACGGGGGAGCGAAGGGGAACAAGTTGTATGGTAATAGTTAACTAATGATTTTTATAAAAAAACTAGTGTGAAGTTTACAAATAAAAATTATTTGGGTACTCATACATATAAGACGTTACGTTCATTTAACTTCATATAAGACGTAAACGTCGCATGACAACATATCTTTGCAACTTGCGAATGTTTGCGAGGAGTAGTGGTTCAACAATTCATTACGAGTTCGCATGTCCGCATGTTACTTAATACTAGCTTTGTAAATGAATTTCTAGCCAATTTTTTATGATCTTCTTAAGTTTCTTGTTTTCTTGTTTCTAACAATGTGAACTCGTAATGAATATTTGTACGTCTAATATTAATTTCAGACGTAAAACTGACCCTGATTCGAAGGACGGATTACGTCCTTTACACAGAACAAGTCGGAAAGGGAAAGGCGACCAGTTTAATTAACAAACTAGACAAAATTAACTCCTCCCCATGTGGATCATGGAGCCTCCAAAAGAGTTCAGGTCTTTATCATTTTATTTCTTTTAAAAATTTGTGGAAATTCAAAAATTGAATAAAATATTTACTAGCCGACGGAACCTACCTGCCACCCGATACCCCCACAAAAATCTCCTTCTCTTTACCACTCCCACTCGACCTGTGGTCATCCTTCGTCGTGACGAATGCTTTCTCCTGGTACGGTCTCATGCTCACGGCCCGCTCCCAATCGCAGTACGGGCGCAAGGAGACCTTCATCCTTAAAAGGGACATCTTAATGATTGGAAACGTGGAAAAAGATAAGGTCCCGTTTTCCGAACCCCTTAAGAAAATTACCACTTTCACAACCCCCGCTAAAGAAGAGGTAAAAATGCGGGTCTGCTTAAAAACCCGGTGTGCTACCCCGGGTGACAGGGTTCCGTTTCGGGTCGAAGTGTGGAACGGGAAGTCGTTACCATTGTCGGTGAAAGCCACGTTGCAACAGAATATCGGGTACAAATTTATAGCCCGGTTTAGAATGCATATGAAAACGAGTGAGGCTAATATCGTGTGGCACGGAGAAAGTGGGACGTTCCTCGAGGGGAAGTCAGAGTGGAGGGGGGACGTCGAAATTCCTTATGTGGCCCCGACCGGATTGGGGAGGGAGGGGTGTCCCAATTTCACGGTGAACTATATGCTCAAGGTAATCAGACTAGAGGAATTTACTAAAAATTTACTTCGTTAGTTGAATCAATTCACGCAGCCATTGGTAAATTTGGAAAATTCGTAAATTCTACGAACGGATATTTCTTAGGAAAACTAGCTTGCTAAATTGTGGAAGCTTACTCAGATGTTTGACATCTCTTATTTTGGGAAATTTTATCGAATTTGTATACTAAATTTAAGAATTTATAGAGTTTCCGAGGAACACGTGAATGTTGATTATGTATGTTAAACTCTAAATTTTTAACAGTTCAAGTTTACAACTCATTAATTCGTTGATTATTGCCTACATAACCAATTTGGGCACAAAATCTGAGTAACCTACTTCTAGCAAAACTTGGACGCGTGTAACTTTGTATAGCATGTTTAAATTATCGTGAATTTGCACGTTATGTTCAATACATACGTAAATATGATTGGCGTTATATTAGGATATAAAACATCTACAAATGTGCATGGCATGTATAATAATTTGGGTTTTAATTGTTACAGTTCGTGATCCCACGGTTTGCCAAGATCGAGACGGAGCTCCACATCGGGACGGCGACGCGAGATGAGGGCGCATCCGCAGAACTGGGTGGCGACGACATTTCTTTGGCGTACGGACTGGAAGTGACGAGGTCGCTCAGCTCGTCGCAATACTCGTTGGACTGGAATGCCCTGTCTTTGGCCAGCGAGGACAGTGGGTGCTGGACACTAGTCGAAGATGAAGAGTAACCACGTGCTACCTGACCTTAGTATTTCTCATGCTACACAAATGAATACGAGTGCACATAATTTTTGCAATATATGTATGTATGTAGTTACATATTTGCAAGTATGTATGTATATACATACGTATAAAAATGTGGTAAATGTATGCAGTCATGCAGTATTTGGGAAATGAAAATATTTCTCTAATTGACAATCATAATAATTGACAATTAATTAGTAGATTTAGTAACACTTCATTCATCGCTTAAAGCAACATGTGCACATATGCACGTATTTATGCTCATACATATGTAACAATACAAAAACGCTTTATTAGTAAAAATGTATGTACATGCATGTTACAAAGAATTAAATACTTGGATAAATACATACTTACTTAAAAACAATTTACCTTTGTGTGCAATGCTTAATGTACGACTTACTATTGAATATGTACAGAAACTCACCCACCATTTAATAGTTAAAGAATTGTCAATAAGTCACCCGGAATATTGCAAACATCAATTAATCGATCCACTTTAATTAGAACCTAAACACAATTAAGGTTAAGGAGCTCACTCCTTGCTTATTTGAGAATGTCGCCAATTTTATAAATTCACCTCACTCAAGTCTCAAATCTCTCAATAAAAGCCAACACACTTTATCGCCATGGACCTAACGTGGGTCGACGATTTGATCCTAACCCTACAAAAATATCCCTTCCTCGGCGTCCAAATAATCGCGTATGTCCCCTTCACCATCATCCTTCAAAGTATGAATCAATAGCGTATGTACATATTTTCAACTCGTGTCCAAAGTGAAAGTATGAATGACTTCCTGTTCACCCACCCAGATCGCCAGCTGACTTTCTCCTTGTAGCGGAAGTAACGATTTCTATTGGTTTTGCTACTTGTTCATTTTTCCACCATCCCTAAATAAATACATAATTTATGTACACAGATAACAGAAAGTTGTAAATTACGACTTCCTAATCTGACAACCATCCCGAGATACCAAAGGCGAGGATGGAGTAACGAAAGTAGCAACGATATGAAAACGAAAAATTGTTGCTTAAATAAAAATACGGAAATGGCAAACTTTGGGTACCGAATTTTCAACGCTTAAATTGACTTAACGATAACGCATTTACTAGGTATGGAAATTTCGACGGACCTGTTTACCGCTGACACGCAGTACTGGTTAAGCGCCTTTTTTTCGTTACCACCAATGCGCCAAAATTCTGGTGCAAAATCCTTACACATTTAATGTCCAAAAAACGGCGCTGAAAAATCATATATATTCCAACAACTAATCAGTGACGACAAATCTTTACCTTCTAGCCATCCAAATTTCGGTACAAAATCCTCACACTTTTATAACCTAAGAAATAGCGTTGATAAATCCTCTATTACTCTCTAACGAATCAGTAACGAAAACTCGTCCCCTAATCCGTGCTGATTATAAGTACATAATCATCGCTGTATCAGTGTAGATTTCTCGTGAGCACGCACGACCGCACCGCCACTCATAAGCAACATTTACAACGGATTACATCAATTATTTAGTTGAAACAATTAATTGTATCAATGACAGACATAGTGTTAAAGAAATCTTGTGTAGTGGAGTTTCCTGTCGACAAGACAATTGAAGTAGTGCCACGAACTTGGCTTTCGGATAACAACACAAAGTGTGCCTTTCCTTCAAATCGGCCGAAAGGGTTCAAAAAGAATCAAGAGGACCCCGAATCCATGTCAGATCCTCTCTGGAAAATTTGGGAAGCAAATGTAAAGAAGAGTTACGGTAAAAAATAATTTCTGATTAATAAATTTTTGAATAAAACCATATAATTTTTATTGCTATTGTAGATAAGTTCGAGCGAGCAAACGACAAAGCTAAGAAGCTTTTAAAAGCTGCCTATATTGACAGCAGTGATTTGGACATTGATGGTGAATCGTCGCAAGAAAGATTACAAAGTGCAGGTAATTTCCACTGTTTCTGTTACAATTAACATTACGAAATTTGCGGTTTCATATTTTACGAAGGTGAAGTAATTCAACCGTTCGAGTCACCAATTAATGAAAAAACCGAGCAAGAAGTAGAATCCATTCCCGTGACTTCGGACTACTGTGATGACCGCATTACAACTTTAATAGAGGAGTTTCGAGGTATTTAATAAATTTTGAAATATGTGAATAATGTTATATATGAATCGAATATTTATTGAAGTTTAATTTATTTACATATTTAGCATTTCAGCAAACTTCAATTCAGAATCAACTAATTTTGCAAGAGGAGATCCGAGATCTCAAAAATATTGTCTTGCGCTGCCTGAATTCTACAAATCCGGCAGCGGCAACAAGTAATTTATTTTGGCCAATTAAAAATCAGGAAGAACTTGAGAAAATAAATGAAATTCTTACTAGCAATGACACGTATATTCAACAAGTAAGTTATCAAAACAGATATCTATTTTTAAACTGATTATTCGATGCTGATACACATTTCATTATATTTCTTTATTTCTGTAAATTGCCAGGTAACCCTGCTGTCTAGAGTCGGGGGGAGATTCAGTCACTAAAGCCGTTAACTGTACCATGAAGTCCATTATTTTGCACCAATTTGCACTAACTCTTCGCTTTACTGACGCTTCTGATAAATTACTTTTTGGGAGAACTTTATGCTGCAAGCTTGTTAGAGGTAGAAATTTGTATACACTAAATTTGCACAATAATAATTAAACATGTAAGTAAGTATAGAGTTGTTTATAAATTACAAACTATTTATAGACGCGGTCCGTCAATTCTTCATTCAGGCGGGCAACACAGAAGGAATCAAGGCCGAGTTAAGTGACAGTAAATTGGATTCTTACATTGCAAAGTGGCTTCGTGACTCAATAAATAGAGGAGACGAAGGAAAACAGAAGAGGTCCAAGGCTAAGAATGGACGCGCCACGGTCAACAAAGTCCCAGAGAGTGAAGAAACGGCTGTCAAAAATGTTGAACCAAATTAGAGCCCCACGAACATCGTCAACATTTCAAAACTTAATTCCTTCTCAAGAATCATTTGTAAGATTTAATACTGAACAAGTCTCAAATAATTATAATCTTGAGTTATCAGAAAATGTAATTAGTAGTTCTGTTGAAAGTGAAAATGAATTGCACAATGATAATAACTTTATTGAAATTAACTATTTAGCCCAAATGAGGGAGTGGGCACTAGCCCACAATATTACCCACCCTGCATTAAAGGACTTGTTAGAACTTTGTAAGGAATGGTTACCCGCGTTTGGATTTCCAAATGATCCTAGAACTTTGCTAAAAACTAAAAGGGTTGTCCAGTTAAAAGATGTAGGTGGAGGACAGTTTTATCACTTTGGATTAGAATTAGGATTAATTAAAATGTTGAATGGTAAAAAAATTGGCAAATTAAATTTTACTAAGGTTGAGGTTAGTTTAGGTATCGATGGGTTACCGATTAGCAAGAGTTCCAACTTACAATTTTGGCCTATCCTATGCAAAGTTAATGGTGAGCTTGGGGATAATAGCGTTTTTATAGTAAGCTTTTTTTGTGGTAATCAGAAACCCAAGTCAATTCAAGAATTTCTTAATCCACTGGTGAATGAAGTAATCAATTTAAAACAAAATGGAGTCGTAGTGTCCAACAAAAAATATGAATTTTTTCTAAAAGCAATAATTGCAGACGCTCCTGCAAGAAGCTTTATTAAGCAAGTAAGAGGACACAATGCATATTATGGTTGTGAACGATGTTATACAAAAGGTGAATATTCTGGCCGCGTAATATATTCAGTAGGTCGATCTTTTCCCTTGCATTCTGATGAAACTTTTAGAACACGGATGCATATTAACCATCACGAAATTAATAAAGTTTCGCCATTAATTGATGCAGGAGTAGGAATGATTAGTCAAATTCCTCTGGATTATATGCATTTATGTTGCCTCGGGGTGATGAAAAAATTCTTACTTTTATGGATAGACGGACATATTCCACACAAACTATCTCAACGTCAAATTAAATTAATTTCAAGTAGACTTCTATTGTTCCGTAATCGAGTCCCTTCACATTTTTCTAGAAAACCGAGAAGTTTGGAAGAAATTAGACATTGGAAAGCTACTGAGTTCAGAAACTTCTTACTCTACTTAGGACCAATTTGCTTGAAAGGTGTGTTAACAACAGATAAATATCAACATTTTCTATTGTTACACACTGCAATATATATTCTAGCTTCTGAGTTTGCAAACTCTCACGATTGGGTTGATTTTGCAGCCCAACTCGTTAATGAATTTGTTGAGAAAATTCCTACACTTTATTATAAAGAGTTTATTGTATTTAATGTTCATTCACTAACTCATTTAGCTGCAGATGTTCATCTTCACGGACCAATAGATAATTTTAGCGCATTCCCGTTTGAAAATTTCATGCAAACAATAAAACGCCTGCTGCGATCAAAAAATACCCCTTTAAGTCAAATTGTTAGAAGGGTTGGGGAATTAACTGACTTGCCACTAAAGTTGCCAAAGCAGACAAATTCATCCTTAACTCCTTCAGCTAAACTTGGTGATAATTGTTTTATCACGAAAACTGGACAAGTATGTATTGTTGAAAAACATAACCAGAAATTTATGTGTCGTATATTTGATGAATATTTACAACCGAAATCTTATCCCGTAGTTTGCAAAGAGTTAGGAATAGGCTACGTTAGGAATTTGGGAGTTTTGCGCAAGTTAAACCCTTTTAACCTGTCAAAAAAATGTATTCTACTTCCATCTGGGAAAAAATATTTTTATATATCATTGTGCAATTCATTTGAAATAAATCGTAAATAATGAATACTGCTTATTATAAGATTAGCGAGTTTTTGTATTAAAATAATATGCATTTAGTTGTTTAATGCTCTCCAACTACGTTAAATTGTACTGATTATTATTATATGAAAGTTAAATTGTAATAATTTTTGGAAATTAATAAATAATTTCGAGTAAAATAAACCAATTGTATCAGTACTAATTCAATAACGAAATTTAGTTACCAAAACTGCATAAAAAATTTGGTACCGAGACAACGTTCGCATTTCGTCGCCGTTTCATTACGTGTAAAAAGTATGGATTAAGCAATGATATTTCGTTGACGTAATGATGGCATATTTCGGGACCCATTAGTCGCTTGCCATCAGTACCATATAAGCAAATGATCTTGTTCCATTTCGCTACCTTGTCAACACCTGCAGAAGCAAGTACCGAATCAACGCTTGTGGTGCAGCTCGGGATGTCAGTGAAGAGTTGCTTAGTAAGGGTCAATTTTGACCAGAGCGTTCTAATTTACCAAGCAGGACAGAGCATTACTGGAAATTTGGTGTTCAACGGGGGACCCAAGGGGAACAAGTTGTATGGTAATTGCTAATTAATGATTTAATCATTTTTGTAACAAACCAACTCATTAAACGAAAGTTTACATATAATATAAAAATATGTATTACATATTTTTAAAGTTTAATAGATAATTTATTAAACCTTTACAATTGAAAACATGGCTAGTGTGCATAATATTATGTAAAGTAACCTGGCAAAATCCGTCAATTATGTAAAGTTACAAACCTTACCAATTATCTTACCAATTTTAAGAAAAGATTGTAAAGTCTTAAAATTACTTTCTTCAACTAATTGATTTGACAAGTTATCCATGGATACTTATGTACATCACAATAAATTTCAGACGTAAAACTGGCCCTGATTCGAAGGACGGATTACGTCCATCACACAGAACAAGTCGGAAAGGGAAAGGCGACAAGTTTAATTCACAAATTAAACAAAATAAACTCTGATCCGTGTGGGTCATGGAGTCTACGAAATAGTCCAGGTATGTAGATTTACCAAATTTTGTCTCAAAATCTGTGCACATTTAAAAATTCTCATTTTTTTTACAGCCGATGGAACCCCCCTCGCAGCCGACACTCTCACCAAAATCCCCTTCTATTTCCCTCTCCCACTCGACTTGTGGCCTTCTTTCGTGGTGCTGAACGCATTTTACTGGTACGGCTTGATGCTCATGGCCCGGTCGCAGTCGCAGTACGGGCGCAGAGAGAGTTTCATCCTTAAACGGGACATCTTGATTATTGGAAACGTGGAAAAAGAAAATTCCAAGCCGATTTCGAAAATAACTACTTTTACAACCCCCTCGAAGGAAGAGGTCAAAATGCGGGTTTGCCTAAAAACCCGGCGTGCCATCCCGGGTGACAGGGTTCCATTTCGGGTCGAAGTGTGGAACGGAAAGTCACTTCCGTTAACGGTGAAAGCAAATCTGCAACAGAATATCGGGTACAAGTTAATAATTCGGACTAAAATAAAGAGGAGAACGAGTGAGGCGAATGTCGTGTGGCACGGAGAAAGTGGGACGTTCCTGGAGGGAAAGTCGGAGTGGAGGGGGGACGTCGAAATTCCTTATGTGGTCCCGACCGGATTGGGGAGGGAGGGGTGTCCCGATTTTACGGTGAATTATATGCTGCAGGTAATTAATCAAGACAGATTATTGGTATATGTATAATTAGCAATAATTTTGTTGGTTAAATAGTAATAAGGATATTGATAATTTACATACTTCGAGTTGTTAGTGTCGTAACATAGTTTGTGAACAAAATATTTAGAACGGGTCAAGCTTCGTAAAAATTGTTACTTTAACAACGCGAGTTTTGATGACTAAATCTTACTCCCTTACAAAACCTCGTCACCGTCATAATTTATTTTACGGTACGAAAAATACGAAGGACACGACGGAATTATGAATACCCCAAATGTTGGGAAGTTTATCCTTAAATTGGGTAGAACATATTTACATATATTTATTTATGTATACGAAAATTTGTGGCAAAATTGAGAATTAGGATTTTGGTAGCCTGAATATGTATATAATGACGGCGAAGAATCATGTTTAATTTACATAGGTATCGTGAATTTGTACTTGCGATAGATACATAAATAAATGTATATTTATTTAAATAATAACTAAAAAATCTGGGGTTACACATTCAAGACATCTATGTAAATACGGGTGACATTTATAATAAGTAATTTTAATTACAGTTCGTGATCCCACGGTTTGCCAAGATCGAGACGGAGCTCCACATCGGGACGGCGACACGAGATGAATGCGCATCTGCGGAACTTGGTGGCGACGAAATTTCTTTGGCGTACGGATTGGAAGTGACGAGGTCGCTCAGCTCGTCGCAATACTCGTTGGACTGGGATGCCATGTCTTTGGCAAGCGACGACAGTGGGTGCTGGACACTGGTCGAGGATGAAGAATAGTTATGCAATACTTTCTACCTGTGTTTTTATTCGTGGCTAAATTCTTATGAGGTGTGTGAGTTGTAAATTCACGTTGGTTAATTTATGAGTGTGTGTATGTTAAGTGTAGCGCAACTTGAATTAGTGTGCACCAGTTTCTTAGCATAAAGCTCTATGGTTGTGTAAATGATTTCGTAGTTAACTTCAATTGATTAATTTTATATTAATATTAACTGGTTTATTTATGTTTCAATTAATTAGTACATACAAACTGTGTATGATACTATTTCTATTAGTTGATTTGGGGTAATGTGATACAACTATTTCTGATAGGTAACTTGATACAACTACTTTGATGGGTAATTTGATACAAGTAATTTGCAATCTCAATTTCCCATTTGGGGCCATCTGAGATTTGCGATTCACTCTTGTGCAGAACAACCCTCTGTTACAAAAAGATTAAATGGGCGTTACGCGGGCTTTGGTCCGTGGCTAGCTTTATACTGCAGAGCGGACGGAAAAGCAGCCGTGTATGCTAACTAATACATTTCATTTCCCAACTAAAATAAGTCAATTTGCACATTATATACATAAATACATTGGTTTGTTCAACATTGGAACAAATACATGCATACATTAAATGCTTCGTTTCTACCTGTTTAGCAAACTACAAAGCTGGACAACTCAATCTGCATAAGATGAGTTTGCAAGATGTGGCAGTGATGCAGCGTAACATACCTGCCATCACTTCCACTGTTCCGTGCAGACAAACATTGATTTGCATGCATCTCCTACAAAACCTCTGTAGATTTCGCTCAATCTGCATCTTACATGCAGACTGACCAATCTACACATCTCCTAAAAAATACATGCATATTCCTACATATTAGGAATCTGAACATTCCGGCCCCCTTGGACTAACTAGTTCCAAAATAAGATTATTTAATTTTTACTAAATTAATTCTGTATTCAAATCAGCGTTTTCCGTTTCGACGGGTAGTAGGCACAGCTTTACGATCGGTCGCTCGTACTCTCCAGTAGCTGTCCTCACCAATACCTTCCTGACTTTCTCATCTGCTCCTGGTTTGACTTCCATAACTCGTCCAAGTTTCCAATGTAATGGTGGCAAGTTATCTTCCTTGAATATTACCAGTGAGCCCTCTTTAATGGATTCCACCGGTTGCATCCGTTTTGGTCTTTGTTGTAGTCTGACGATATATTCAGATGACCATCTTTTCCAAAACTGTTGTAGCATCTGTTGAATCAGCTGCCATCTCACGAGTCTTGTTGTTGGTATTTCAGTTAAATCCGGATCAGGAATCGACGTCAATGGTTGACCAATGATGAAATGTCCAGGTGTCAGTGCTCTTAAATCCGATGGATCAGTTGACTCAGGCGTTAATGGTCTTGAGTTTAGCATTACCTCGATCTGGCTTGTAAGAGTTGTCAGCTCTTCGAATGTTAGTCGATTTAATCCCATTATTCTTCTAAGATGGTATTTTGTTGATTTGACACCCGCCTCCTAGAGTCCTCCAAAATGTGGCGCTGATGGTGGGTTAAAATGCCAAGATATTCCTTCCTTAGACATTGTCAATGCGATCTGATTATTATGGCTTACACTGTCGGTAAGTTTTTGCAACTCCTCTAGTTCCTTGTCAGCTCCGACAAAATTTGTGCCATTATCGCTGTACATGTCTGATGGCTTGCCACGTCTAGCTATGAATCTTCTAAAGGCAGCTATAAATGCTTCAGTGCTGGCCGAACTAACAACTTCTAAATGTATGGCTCTAGTCGCACAGCAAATGAATATCGCTAAATATGCCTTTAATGTCACCTTACTTCTGGGTGTAATGGGTCGAATCAAAAACGGTCCAGCATAATCAACTCCACATTTCTGGAAAGTATGGGATGGAGTTACTCGAAATGAAGGTAGATCTGCCATCATCTGTTGCATGGTTTCTGCTCGATTTCTTGTACAGATGACACATTTTCGAATGATCCTCCTCACAGCATCCTTTCCTCGAACAATCCAATATCTTTGTTGTAGATAAGATAATAAAGTTTGTGAACCAGCATGTAGGTTTAACAAATGCGCATTTTCAACTATCATCGCTGTAATTCTGTGATGCGGTGGCAGCATAATTGGATGTTTCTGATGCACAGGAATGCTTGCATGACGAAGCCTTCCCCCCACTCGCAAAATGTTGTCTTTGTCGAGGAATGGGTTCAAGGATAACAAACTGCTTTTACTGGATAACTTCCCTTTACTTCTAAGCTGCAATAGATCTGATGCGAACTCTTCCTCTTGAGCGATACATATCCAACGTTTAAGAGATAAATCAAGTTCCACTGTTGACAGCCACAGGTTAATAATTGGTTCAACTGCACATCCACGTTTCTGCTGGACTGCAGCTCTTGCATTATTTATAAATCGTACCAATCTTGCTGTGATTCGTTGCAATCTGGTTAATGTTGAGTACCGGAGAATCAGATCTCTCGGTGTTCTAATATTTGTTAAGTGACACACTGAAGCATCACGTCTTTCTTCACTTGGCTCTTGTTTACTCACAACTTAACTTGTTAAATTTGGTACAGGTGGTTTCTCATTCAACCAAGACGGCCCGTTCCACCATAATGGATGGTTAATAAATTCTTGTACACTTATTCCACGAGATGTACAATCAGCTGGGTTATCAATTCCACGAACGAATCCCCATTTATCTCCCGGAATTAATTCTTGAATTTTGGTAATTCTATTTGCAACAAAGGTTTTATACTTATACGGTTCAGACCTAATCCATCCAAGAGTTAGTGTTGAATCTGTATAGGCCACCATATCAGTAAAGTTCATTTTCAAAGCCTTTGCAACTAACGGCATAAATTCTGCTAACAGTAGTGCTCCACAAAGTTCCAACCTTGGTAACGATTGTTGCTTTACTGGCGCTACTCTAGTCTTTGAGGATACCAGATATGATAATCCGTTTCCTTGCTCATCATAATACACCAAATAAACTACAGCTGAATACGCTTGTTCAGACGCATCGCTGAATCCTACCAAATATGTCTGTTGATTTTTTCCTGAGTGACCAACTTGCGCTCTAGAAATTTTTAACATTTGTAAATTTTTCAGTTCAATTTTAAAATTATCCCACTTTTGTTGAATTGTTATTGGCACTAAATCATCCCAGTTCAAATTTGCTTTCCAAATTGATTGCATTAAAATTTTTGCACTAATTATAATGGGTGCGCACCAACCAATGGGATCGAATAATTTCGAAATTTCAGATAGAATCACTCGTTTTGTTAATGAACCTACTTTAACATTACCAAATATATCAGCTCTAAATCCAAAACAATCTTGAGCTGGGTTCCAATAGATTCCAAGTGTTTTTACAGTTGCGTCTTTATCAAATGTCAGAGATTTTGTTTCTGTCAGATCTTCAGGAATAGACAGAAGAACTTTTTCGGAATTGGAAGTAAATTTTCTGATTGACATTCCGCAACGTTTCAATAGTTCAATGATTTCGTGCTGAAGTTTTACCGCATTCTCTTCTGTGTCAGCTCCAGACAATAAATCATCCATGTAGAAATCTTCTTGTAACACTTGTGATGCAATTGTAACATCAACTTGGTTTGCTAACTCGCTTAGCACACGAGTAGCTAAATACGGACCAGCAGCCGTGCCATAAGTAATTGTTAATAATTTATAATGTTTAAATGGTTGATCTGGCGATTCCCTCCACACAATATGTTGAAACTCTTGATCATCACTCGATACAAGAATCTGTCTGTACATCTTTTCAATATCAGCATTTATTGCAATTTTATGCTTTCGGAATCTCATTATTAAGTTTGCTAATGTGTCTTGAACAGTAGGTCCAACCATCATTGTATCATTCAATGAGAGGCCGTTAGACGTTTTGGCTGATGCGTCAAATACTACGCGAAATTTCGTCGTGGTAGATGATTCTTTTAACACAAAATGGTGTGGTAAATAGCATCTAAAGTTGCTATCTTTGTTTGGTGGTGGCACTTCTATCATATGCCCCAATTTTATGTAGTCATCCATGAACTTTTTGTATTCTGTAACATAGTGTTCATTTTTATGGAGTCGCCGTTCCACTTGCTTGAAACGATTAATTGCAATATTTAATGATTCTCCCAACTGCACTTTAGGAGTTTTAAATGGGTATTTCACAATGAACTCACCCTCTTTGGTTCTTTGAACAGTATTTTTAAAATGGTCCTCACACCGTTTTTCCTCAGCACTGAGCAGTTGTGAGTCCTGTAATTTTTCTATTTCCCAGAAACTTTTTAATAATGAGTCCAGTTTTAAACTCTGGTCATTTTCAATTGATTTATTAATTTGAGTATGATATAATTTCATCTCATTTTGATTATTAGATCGGCCGCCGCCAATTAATCATCCTAATTGTGAATTAATTGCGGTCGGACGCAGTATTTTCTAACGCCATGGCATGCCGTTCTAAAAATGAAATTAGGTCCGCCAATTTGATTATGTCATTGTCCTTAAGACTATGCTCCCACAAGTCTTTTGCAGCAGGATCAAGTTTGCTTGCGATGTGATAGATGTAAAATTGTTCTGCATGTACATCCAGATTACAATGAAGAAGCTCCATGGATCTGATACATCTATTTGCGGCATCGATAAGGTCTTTGACGGATTTTGACGTTGCTGTTGCTTTTGGCTGAGAGCAAAACTTATCCAAGGTAGCAAAGGCAATCATACGCTTGTTTTCGTACCGATCATGTAATTGCTTCCAAGCCTGATCGTAATGTGCATCTGTCAGGGGTAAATCAGCAGTATAGCGGCCAGCTTCTCCCTTCAGTAACGCTTTGAGGTAAGTAAATTTCTCCACTTTCGAGACACTCGCATTGGAATGAACTGCTGCTTCAAACGAGTCTTTAAATGTAGCCCACTCCAAATAGTTACCGTGGAATGGTTGAATTTCCAATTTAGGTAACCTCACATTAGTGTAAACTACAGTTGGTATGGACCCGCTGGTAGCCGTTGCCGGAATAACTGTATTTCTTACGTCTCTCAGTGCCACTGAAACTTGACGCACAGTTTTATACAACAGCATGTAGGCGTCTGTATCGTCGTCTAGATCACTTGGGTTCAGTTTCGTAATTTGCTGAAACCCATCGTCTAGTGTATTTGACCATAAACTAACTTCTTTAGATATGTGTCAACGGTGGCGAGGTCCATTGGGTGAGTAGCATGATCCTTAGCTTGATCGAGATAAAACTTAAATTTCTTGCCAATCATGTCCCTCACCCCCCGCAAGTCATCAAGTTTGCCCATTTTGATTTGGTTAAAACACTTAATTTTAACTTCAAAATACGGACTAAAGATTGTTTGTGAAAACCTTACCAGTATTAATTTTTAGAAAGACTAAATACTGCGCGAGAACTAACGTAAATCACTTAATTCACACGATAGATAAATTATCACCTCAAAGGAATTCGCTTATATCGAAAAAATTAGTGTTCACAATTATTAGTCTTATTTATAATTGCACCGTTCGCGAGATCATGTTTTTATTCGTGGCTAGATTCTTATGAGGTGTGTGAGTTGTAAATTCACGTTGGTTAATTTATGAGTGTGTGTATGTTAAGTGTAGCGCAACTTGAATTAGTGTGCACCAGTTTCTTAGCATAAAGCTCTATGGTTGTGTAAATGATTTCGTAGTTAACTTCAATTGGTTAATTTTATATTGATATTAACTGGTTTATTTATGTTTCAATTAATTAGTACATACAAACTGTGTATGATACTATTTCTATTAGTTGATTTGGGGTAATGTGATACAACTATTTCTGATAGGTAACTTGATACAACTACTTTGATGGGTAATTTGATACAAGTAATTTGCAATCTCAATTTCCCATTTGGGGCCATCTGAGATTTGCGATTCACTCTTGTGCAGAACAACCCTCTGTTACAAAAAGATTAAATGGGCGTTACGCGGGCTTTGGTCCGTGGCTAGCTTTATACTGCAGAGCGGACGGAAAAGCAGCCGTGTATGCTAACTAATACATTTCATTTCCCAACTAAAATAAGTCAATTTGCACATTATATACATAAATACATTGGTTTGTTCAACATTGGAACAAATACATGCATACATTAAATGCTTCGTTTCTACCTGTTTAGCAAACTACAAAGCTGGACAACTCAATCTGCATAAGATGAGTTTGCAAGATGTGGCAGTGATGCAGCGTAACATACCTGCCATCACTTCCACTGTTCCGTGCAGACAAACATTGATTTGCATGCATCTCCTACAAAACCTCTGTAGATTTCGCTCAATCTGCATCTTACATGCAGACTGACCAATCTACACATCTCCTAAAAAATACATGCATATTCCTACATATTAGGAATCTGAACAACCTGGTATTTACGAAGTTGCATCTAACCGACGTTAGTATTTCTTATGCTTGATAAGCAGGTACACACAGGTGAATACGATTGCGAATAATTTTTCCCTCAAACATATATAAACAAACATATGTATGTATGTACACTTTTGGCAAAACGGTATTGAATCAACACCAACCGGAGTGCATATATTATATGACTTAACCGGCGCGGTGATAACGGGCATTACTGTATAGTGATAAAAAGTTACCACTTAAAATCAAACTATTACCAACCCGGGGACAAATTGTCACCCAATCAATACCATCACGGAGTGTATATATGTATGACTTCACCACATTTTTAACAGTATACTATGTTTGCTGGAGGTTCAAAAAATGTGTATTCTTCGCAGAATGTGGTGGTACATACATACATGCGTACATACAAATTTACCATGTTTTATTTGGAAATTGTGTGTACATTCTCTAATTGGAAATCTGAATAAGTATGTAATTGACAATTAATTAGTAGATGCAGCAACGCTTCAGTGCACGCTTGAAGTAACATAGTTATTTAGGTATTAATGTGCTTATTTATGTTTGTTTGTACATATATTGATTGATTGATTGATTGATTGAAGCTTTATTCTAAGTTTACAGTTACAAATACAAACAATGCTCTGCCACAGACAATAAAACAATGCTCTTCCACAAGTGACATATGCAATAAAAAGATTTCCTTAGCAACATAAAAAAATTCCTTAGCAACGTCTCAAAAATTGCTTAGCAACATAAAAAAATTTCTGAGCAACATCAAAATTCCTTAGCAAAATAAAAAATTTCCTTAGCAACGTCAAAAAATTTCCTTAGCAACATAAAAAATTTCCTTAGCAGCGTCAAAAATTTCCTTAGCAACGTCAACAAAAATTCCTTAGCAGTGTTAAAAAAATTATTAACAAAATTCGCCAATTATTTGCAACGTTATCAAAATTACTGATGAATTAAGACAATAATGTCGACAATAACTACCCTAAATAGGACTTTAATGACCTCGTGACTGAACTACATATGCTGTTTGTTTACTCTAAAATTATAATTTTCATCGAGCTTATTAAATCGTATCTTTTATGTACTTGCTTAACTTAATGTTGTTGAATTTTCCGTGTAACATAATTAATGTCGCCCGTCTTCGGGACGGGCTTATAGACTAGTAGCTAATAAATTATCCCCTGAAAAATTGCAGACATCAATTAATCGATCCGTTATAATTAGAAAAATTAATAAATTAATACGAGTTAATGGAGCTCATTCGTTTCATGAAAACGTTGCCTACTTATTACATAAATTCACCTCATTCAAGTCTCAAATTCTCCCAAAAAAGCTAACACACTTTATCCCCATGGACCTAACGTGTGTCGAAGATTTGCTCTTAACCCTACTCAAATATCCCCTCCTCGGCGTCCAAATAATCGGTTATGTCCCCCTCACCATGACTCTTCAAAGTCCAAATCAAATAACAACCCCCTCAAAACTAAAAAGTACCCCCACAAAATCCCTACAATTCCGTTTCTTCACAATCCCCGTCCTCTCCCAACTCTTCTTAATCACTTCCTTCTTCCTAGTTTTATTCCTCTTTGTCAGCGTTGAACAACAACGGGACGAATTCAACCAGTACAGTAAACTCTCCACGGATATGATCATAATTTCCGTGATGTCCATGATCTCCCTGATTAACGCGATGGGAAATCGTCTCTACGGATTTGTCACGGTGCGAGGCACCCTCACATTTTGGCATGTGCATTGTCATCAGTTGGAAAAAATTTCGAAAATTTGGACACAACAAGAAGTCATGGATTTATACGGGAAACAAGTCCGCGTCCAGTTTCGCTGGACGGTTTTGTTTCTCCTGTTACCAGTTTGCACGATGCTCTCGGTGGATTTAATCATCGCCGAAGTCTTTGGCGTATCGACTAACGCGTCCGTGCTAAAAATGCTGCAGGATCATGATATCGGTTTGATGTGGGGGATGATTTTCTGGATTTATTTGACATATTCGCACACCTTGCTGAGTAATTGGGTCACGGGGTTCGTTAAGATTTACAACATCGTGTTGGCATGCGTCATTAAGGTAGGATTTTGTGAGTCTTCACTAAAATCGACATATTTTTAATCGTTTCCCATGCAGCTCTGAGAATTCATTATAAAATTTTGGACCACAAATTTGTAGAGTTGGCAATTTTCTAAAAATAAGTACTTCAAATTTTGAGTTTTCTGAAGGGGGAGATCTCAATCTTAAGAAGCATTCAGAAAAATTAGAACTCCTCGAATCTGGCTAATCGTAATTTAAAAAAATCATCGTCATTATATTAATCAAGTCATTGGCTACAAGTTTGTCGTTCGGAATTTTAAAATAAAATTCCAAGAACTCAGAAATGATCCAAAATGGTCCACATAATTTGGCGATGAGTCATCGGGATCTAAATATGTATGCATGTCTGTTAAGGAGGTTGAGACCATGACGATGAAGAGTGACGATTTCGTCACTCTTAACAAAATAGACGAGATTACCCAAGCATACGACGTTATTCTGGGATTGGTGGACTACTTTAATGCCACCTTAAGTGTCCGATTGGTAGGCGAAGTGTGGATCAACATCTTATGGATTTTGGGCTGTATCTACATGTCACTCGCATCATACAAGATGGGAGAGTTCGGGACCATGTTGACCAACCTGTTGGCATCCGGGATGGCGATGAAGACTTTGTACACGTATGGAAACGAGGGCGAGAATTTGGAACAAAATCGGATTACGCTGGTGAAGCGGTTGTGTAACGTGAAGGGAAATAATTTGGGACACGTTGGGCTCGAAAAGGTTAATCAGGAAATTAAGAAATTATTACTACACTTTTAGAAATCTGGGATAGCCCTGCAGGTATTCATTTCTCGATATTAAAGTTTTCCCCACTTGTATTAAAATAAGTATGTATGTACATACTACCGGTCTGTGCAAATTTGCTAGCGACATGGTAAAATTTTAATACCGAACTATGTATTACTACTGCAGGGTGTTACTTATCAATACCACTTTTTTAGAGTCATAGATATACCTACACTCTTAAAAATTTTCGCTTCGAATGGAGTAAAATGTCACTCCAATAGGTAGTCAAAGTGCTTCGACGCTGCCCGGAGTAATGCGTGTAGCAACTAGTCTGGAGTAAGCGTACTTACTCCACTCAGAGTTGTAGCATGCTCCAAATTATGCATAGGGCTTGAACGATACATTTTAGATAGATTTACATAGATTTTACTCGATATGACGCAATTCTGCCCGATTCTAAGTAAAAGTGAACACGATTTTGAGTATATGGCTTACTCTGTCCGGGGCTCGCCTTACTAATTTAGAAGTTCAGTTAAAAACGGGGAAAAATATATTTATTTGTGTGAGTGCGATTTATTATTTCACAACTATTAAGTTTTACAATTCAATTACTTTCATAGGTAGGTTAAAAATAATATTACAGTGTAGCAAAAAATGTTTGAAATATTATTAACAGTAAAACAAGCTTTGAAACAGTTAAATATTCTGCATAATTTGTCCAATCAACGCCTGTACAACGGGTGGAAGATTTGATTGGCAAGGTTTACCAAATACACCGTGATAAATAAATAACCAATGGTTAAACGATTCAACTGGAAACGGAAGTGGCAACACGGTGAAAATCTTAGTCAATGAGTCAAAGGCTTTCAAAAATTTTGAACCGCATGGAATGGCAACCTTATGAATGATGATAAAAAATGAATCAAACTGCAGATCGGCCATAGTCCCCAGGGCAAGTAAAAACGGAGCTTGGTGTGTGTTCATCTTAAGAATTTCGGCTACATGAGTATTTTTCTGGCAAAAAGAAGATTGCATATTAATTAGAATGAGATTATGCATAATTGCCCTAAGATTATAGTACAAACGATAACGCACCGGTTTTACAACAAACATGCTTTTGTATACGTCCAAGTCCGACGCTTTCAGAATTGACATGGTTTTCTTGGGGGGACGACCAGCGGCTTTTGCCTTACGTTTTCCTCTCGTAGTCACCATAGGCAGTTCTCCATCGTCAAACTGGTCCTCCAAGTTGTCGGATGCGGCCCGTCGGCCACACGATGGAAGCACAAACGGCAATACGCAATAAGCCAGTATTGTAACGTCATCTAAGGAACAAAAAAATACATAACTTTGAGTTAAAAATAATTATTTCGTAAATAAAGTACCGCAGGACAGGTCATAACGACTCTTCATCACACCGAATTTTTTCAAGTAGTCGATTCCACTCTCTTCTGCATATTCCAGGATTTTTCGAGATACCCTTGGCCACCGGTCGTACATCACGAAGGCCAGTGCAGGATGACGGCAATCGAAATCTTGAGTTATCTATATATGTATATATTTTGATAAAGTAATCCTGTTAAGTTAACTCTTGCGTACTTTCATATAACATAATTTGTACATACCATCCCCTCTGTATCGAAAAGTCGAGGCATGGATACTACTAAATTATCCAGAATATCTACATTTACCGCGTTAAGTCGGCGTATCACTGTGCGACGTTGAAAAACGGTATTTTTCATTGCCGAGTCAACATCAGTTCCAAAATTCTGGCGAATATACTCCAGAATTCCTTCCTCCGGATCTGGATCATCTATATATTAACAGGGTATTACAATGACAGCAAAATTTGCAGAGTGTTTTGGCTACCAAATGGGCGAGAAGTCAAGTGGTCATTAAAGGTTATAAAGGTTAAAAAATCTCACCATCCTCGTCATCAGATATCCAATTCAAAACGGGCAAATCCAATTCGTTACACTTTGTAGCTGAAGTAGACAGAAGTTTTTTATCGGAGATTTTTTTTCGCTGATTTTTAAGCCTTTCCTCCAAAAATCCGCTCGCCGGGGAGCCATCGCTGCTACCCATGAACCACATCTGGTAACCGAGATGCTTGCGTCTGGGGTCCCCTAGGGCTGGATATTTTCCGACAAGATCTTTTGCCATTTGGTCCATTGCTTGCTTACTTGGGCTATAAACGGCGACTAATTGAATCAAATAAAATCTTTTATTGTTTGCCTGTAACGTACCATGTTCCAAGATTTTCAATGATAGCATCCACCAGTACTGCGGCGATGGTCTGACGGTCATCCTTAACCACCATTTTCTTGGCTGGGATCTTCTGAAATAGTATATGCTTCACTGCATCATTTTTTCGCAAAACCGCATCAATACCCTGCAAATATTACCCCCATTAAAAAATTGTATACGAAAAGCTTAGCAACCCAGAAACTTGCAACACTTGTCGAAGACTTACGAAATTATAAAATCGATGTTCATGTATGGGAGCGCTCTGAAATTGACGAAGCCAGATAATCGTATTGAGCACACAAAAAATATGGAAGAGAACAATGTACTTAAAATATTTAATTTAGTATTTATAACCGGGCTGGATTCCACTGGTCTTGTGAATGAGGAACCAGAAGTGGTGGCCAATTTTATGGAATCTGAAGTTGATGCAGTGGAATTTTGGCTTAACGGTTCGTTCTCTCTGATTACTTCAAGAAAAATCGTTTGACTTGAAGGTAGTTGCTAAATATAAAATAATACAAATTAATAAACTGAGCAGCTAGAAAATTTGGTTATTTTTCATTCGTACCTGATGAGTAATAGAAGATGATGGGGAGGATAATTCTGCCCTTTTGGATAGCAGAATGTCGGTTGGTAATCTTAGTCCTCGTTCAAGAAGTTCTCGGTTGCTTATCAATGAGGAAGTGAACAAACTTTAATTGTCGTCTTCGACGCGCTTGTCACAAAATAAATTATTATATTATATCAAAGTACTTAAAACTTATGTTAATTTAGTGGATTAGTTCGGTATTCATTTACGTCAGACCTTGGTAATAAAAATAAATTGAATTACTCAAACTAATTTAAATGGAACACTAATATATTCGTTGACATCATTGTCAAAAAACGAATGCATTGTGTATAAGGGCTGGTAATGCTTAATTGCATGCAGATCTACTAATCGAATTTTATTCGACTTACAAATTTGGTAGGCTGACAAATGTGTCACAAGCTTGCTAGAAAATTCGGTTACTATGAAAGTACAATCGTCGTCCTCTAATAAAATTCCTTCAATTTTCCCGAACTCTGGGAAAAGCGTGCAATATTTCAATATTACAAAACCTCCTACTCTAAATTCAGAATTATTGGATTCAACAAGATTTGATATTTTGATTATAGGATTTTCTTGGAAATGGAAATGATCAGCCACAAGCTCAGCATGCACAAAGTCATTCAACTGAATAAATTCGTATTTAGGGACTACGAATGTGCACGGTGAAAATACATTTTTTGAGATTAAAGAAAAACATCGCCCAAGCTGATGCCTATAAGCCAATGTTTTGGGTATATTCTTAAAATTGCACACCGTATGCGCTGTAGTTTTGAATACTTTGTGTCGAGCTTCGTAAGTCATGCTCCAGTACTGCCTTAGAGAACCGATTTGAACAATTGAACCTGAATAATGAAGAAGATGATGATGTTTAGGTTTCAGTTTTCGTTTGAATAATTCTTGATAATTACAACAGAATTCAGAAATAAGAGAGTCCAAGTAAATAAGGCCACCCTTCGTAATAATGTGCGAAAGAATTATGTCACAAATTTCTCGTAATAGCAAAAATAGTTTCCATACAGGATCATCGTGTGGCATTAAATCGCCAAGTATTAACGGTAAAGAGACGAGCAAACACAAATTTTGAGAAGCATTTTGTCCTGACTTTGTGTCACCCTTTAGCACTGAGGCTTTAATTTGAGACGGTTTACTTCTACGGAAGTGCCGTCCATAATCAAAGGATTCAATTCGATAATTCAGCTTATCCAAATTGAAACGCTTGTTTTTAATTCCTAAACTGATCATTAAATTGAGTAAATCAGGAACTACCCCTTCCAGTAGGTCGTGCATAATATCGAACACGAACACTTTCGTTACGTGGTGATATGGAAGTGAATTTATCACGGATTCAAAATTTATACCAGTAGCAGAAAGATTTCTAAATTCAACATCCTGATTATAAGTCTCAATTGATCGCAATACTCCGGGGTTTTCGGTCACAGCGGTTTGACAATCATGCTTATGCATTTTACAACGCCTGCATGGATAATTGGCATTAAATCCCTCGGAAAAACCTAATATGGTGTGCAATCCTAAATTGTCACCCGATATTTGGGACAATGCAACTTTGATATTAATAGTTTTGCCATTGTGATTGAAATTTATCCCAGTTTCCCAAAGAAATAAAAGCTCTTTGACAATGATATTCATAACCGAGTTTGGAGATAATATCTTTAAATCCTCACTTTTAAGGGAACAGAGCAATATTATGTTTTCAATTGAACTATTATAATGACAAGGCATATCTTGGATTGAATAGTAAAAGTTTGCCAACTTATGTTTCCCATTTTTGGACCCCAAAGGATTAGCAACCTCAGCCTCGTCAAAGTATATATTTATAAAAATTACCTGAGATGGAAAGTTGGAATCGCGAAAAAACTTTCCATCTCGAAATGATGAAAATTTTCTCCCTGAATATGACTGTTGTTTGTCAAGTATGTCGTAAAAGCCTGGTTTCTGTAATAATTGGAAAATTGAGTCACGTATTGAAACATATTGAAGCTTAATTGGTCTGTAAACTTGTCGCTGGTTCCCAATTTTTAATGGAAAATGTAAATCTGTGTCCAAAACTATTTCTCGAGCAGGAATAAACAAATTTCCGTCAATTAAAAGCTTGTCTAACTTGTGTTTACTATCAAACGAAGAGAACACGTGAGCTAAGTTTTTAATTTGTTCAAGCTTAAATAACTTTTCACTTAATGTTTCGTTACTTTTTAATATTATAATGGATCTGCAAACAGCCTCTCCTAAGATCATTACGGTAAACTCCTTAATTAAAGTTAAAATCTCGTCTTTTGTGCTCATTGGGACCTTTCCTGAACGCAAAATTCCTGCAATCAATTTGAAAATTAATTCACGAAGTTCTTTGTTAATATCATTGTCGCAATCTTTTGTGAAACTTCGGTCAAGAAAATCTGCGTGAACTACTTTCATATTTTCAATTGGTGGATTTCTTTCCTCGTAATTTTCAGGGAGAAAATTTTCACTCAATAGCAACTTATGGAACTTGAAAGCATTTTTTAAATGGCTGATGTATGGCTTTCTTTGATATAAGCCACCACAATGAACACACCTATGTGAATCGGCTCCCAGTAATTTATGATCATTTTTTAAGTGATCAGAATACAATTTTAAAAGTTTAAATCTCTTTTCACAAACAAAACAAACATATACCGAACCAGACTGCAACTTATTTATTCCATTCCATATCAGAATCCGATCACCAAGGACTGGAACGACGTGGATGAGGTCATCTTTTTGAAGGTGTTGTAAAGAATCGTCGGTTAGATTGTTGTCTGTTAAAAAAACGTGCAAAACTAAGAGTTTTAACTTTAAAAAATGTAGAATGGAATTTAAAATAGATCTTACCTTTAAACAACTGACAGTATTTTCCAAGATTAAGTTGAGTTAACAATCTTTGAATCTCCGCATCACACATTTTGGAATTTTAAAAATAGGAATGTAAATTCCGGAATAAATGAGGGAAATGTGTAAATCTGGAATAGACTAATAAAGTCCAAAGTGCAAATCAAGAAGGGCGGGTGAATTGCGGTAGGCTTACTCGCAATGAAGTTCTCCTAACTTTAATGGGGGTAGATGTGGACTCATTTTTAAGTTATTGCCAAGTATGGTTTTTTCAGAGTTAGAAGGATCGCTTACTAGATTTAGAGCAACTGAACTTACTCTTAAAATACCTTCTTATTCTCGGTTTAGGGTTACATTCATTTTTACTTTTCGAGAAGTACGCTACATTTTTGAGAGTGTATGAATACCGCTTGGTATTATTTTAATACTGGATTTCTAAGAGTGTAGTTTTTGGTTGTCAAATTATTTTAAATTTGTGTATTTTTTAGCTAAAGTTTCTTAACCGGAAAGTGGTCAATTGCAAGCTAAGTATCAGCCCGGGGAATTTTTTTACACTGAATCGAAGTTTTGTGTTATCTGTAAGCAAATCATGTTAATATCTTAAAAAGTAGTCACATGTTAATTTGTTTTGGTATCGATAGATCTGGTCCGTCCTGCTCACGCTGTTAATCGTAATGGCCCAGTTTAGAGATTTGGATGAGACGGGAAGTGCAAATCTTGGCAGACATGAACTCTCCAGCTTTAATGTTTCTTCTTAAAAGTGCAGAAACAAGATGAGCAGGGGAAAGTTGTATTAAATTTCATGCCTGGTGAAAGTCGCATACCTGTTATGTACATATTGATTTGGAACATTAATAAATATGTACATAAATACACATCGTAAATTCCTAGCTGAACCCAACCTTAATTCAGATCGACACATATGTATTTAGTAAATATGCATGTAATTATTTATAAACAAGTTCCAGAAACAACTTTTTAAATTGACCTGTTCTTGAGGAGAGAAACAAGTTAGTTAGTTTCATGAAAAGTGATCATAAGATATAACAACAACGACTTATGTACATTACATATTTACTATCATTAATTTTAAGACCTTTTGCTGGAGACCGATCGGGGCTGAAGCATGAAAATGTTAATGAAAAATTTAAAGTGTTTTATAAAATCACTTAAGGGGAGAGAAACAACTGCCAGTTGCAGAAAATTTTTTTAAATAACTTTTTCGCCCCCAAAATACAAAAGAAGTGTTAAAAATGCCTTTTTTGAGGACAAAAAAATAATTTTTCGCGGTGAAACACATTGGACCGCATTCCCCAAAATTATTTACATTTTTGTCGTGAAAATCAAAATTTTGACAAAAATTGTTAAAATTAGTGGTTGACCTTCCCCATAAGTTGGATTGAGTAAAATATGTAGCACGCCGATGAGGCCGAAATGATAAGAAACTCGGGGCTTCCTCCACTCTCTTGTCTGGAGGCGACTGGAGGCGAGGGGTTTCTACTCATCCGCACGCTACATATTTTACTCAATCCTACTTATGGGGAAGGTCAACCACTAATTTTAACAATTTTTGTCAAAATTTTGATTTTCACGACAAAAATGTAAATAATTTTGGGGAATGCGGTCCAATGTGTTTCACCGCGAAAAATTATTTTTTTGTCCCCAAAAAAGGCATTTTTAACACTTTTTTTGTATTTAGGGGGCGAAAAAGTTCTTTAAAAATTTTTTCTGCAACTGGCAGTTGTTTCTCTCCCCTTAAGTGATTTTATAAAACACTTTAAATTTTTCATTAACATTTTCATGCTTCAGCCCCGATCGGTCTCCAGCAAAAGGTCTTAAAATTAATGATAGTAAGTAATAGAAATTTGGTTTAATTTTGTTCCCTAGCAAATTTTTCAACCATAGTTGTTTATTTTATAATGTCACTTGTGGAAGAGCATGGTTTGTAACTGTGAATTTGTTAGACATTCGAATAAAGCATCAATCAATCAATCAATCAATCCCTGACATTGACCATATGTATGTATGTATGTATGCACAGTTGTATGCGGTAATACAGCAGAAGACACGCACATTTCATTAGTAAACCAGTTGGTCTATTTATTGTATTAGTTTGTCCTAAATATTTGCTAACATTTGGTAACCTTAAATAGCTCAGTGCAAAAGGCAAATTTCTGGAAACGCTTTGAGTAAATATGTAAATATGGAGACTTAACTTTTCTCAGTATTTCCATTGTCCATAGCTCTTAGAATTAGTTTTCTCATATTTTCAGACCAAGGGGGATAACCAGAACTAAATCGCATACAGCACACAGTTAGTTTGCTTAATCAACCCAAAATGTTTTTCTTTTTTCAAACGTTTACTGAAAGCTGGATATCAAATATTACCAGGAATCTCCCATATTATGAATGAATGACCCCCACGTTTGGAATACCAACCTGTACAAATTGACGTCAGTAAGGGGGTAAGTTCACATGAAATGATGGTGCCTAACTAGGCGTAATATATAAAGAGAATCCTACCTGTCACTATCATTGTATTCTTCAATTTTACATTTCTAAATACTTTCTCTAGAAAATTTCAAGTTTCACAATGAAGTATTTAACGGCATTTATAAAACCACCCCCACCCCCACCTAAATCCACCCCCACCCCCATCAAATCCACCCCCACCCCCACCCTCATCCACCCCCACCCACACCCTCATCCACCCCCACCCACACCCTCATCCACCCCCACCCCCATCCACCCCCACCCCCACCCTCATCCACCCCCACAATTTTTATGGGGCAACGTGAGATACCTTAGGGCAAAGTGAGATTCTATTTTATATTGGGGTATCGTTCGTAATTAGCGAGCGGAGCGAGCAGGTTAGGTTAGATCAACTAGGTACGCGGAAAGCGTGGAAGGCTGAGCTAGCAAACCTAGGCTAGATAGAACCTAGGTAGCTAGGGTAGCTAGAACCTAGGTAGCTAGGCTAGATAAAACCTAGGTAGCACTTCTAGCTAGCTAACCTAGGTAGCCTTGCTAGCTAGCAGAGCTACCTAGGTAGCCTTGCTAGCTAGCAGAGCTACCTAGGTTAGCTAGCTAGAATTTCTACCTAGGTTCTAGCTACCCTAGCTACCTAGGTTCTATCTAGCCTAGCTACCTAGATTCTAGCTACCCTAGGTACCTAGGTTCTAGCTACCCTAGCTACCTAGGTTCTATCTAGCCTAGCTACCTAGGTTCTAGCTACCCTAGCTACCTAGGTTCTATCTAGCCTAGGTTTGCTAGCTCAGCCTTCCACGCTTTCCGCGTACCTAGTTGATCTAACCTAACCTGCTCGCTCCGCTCGCTAATTACGAACGATACCCCAATATAAAATAGAATCTCACTTTGCCCTAAGGTATCTCACGTTGCCCCATAAAAATTGTGGGGGTGGATGGGGATGGGGGTGGATGAGGGTGGGGGTGGGGGTGGATGAGGGTGGGGGTGGGGGTGGGGGTGGATGGGGGTGGGGGTGGTTTTATAAATGCCGAGTATTTAATAAAGTTTCTGATCAGGGTTTTTATCCTTTGGGGTGTCATTTGTGTGGTAAAATGCCAATTTGAATCCGTCCCCTGGCCTACACCCGCACCGGCTCCGGGACCCTCACCTGCCCCGGGCCCTTGGCCTTCACCCGCACCAGCTCCCGGGCCTTCACCCGCACCGGCCCCCGCACCGGCCCCGGGCCAGGGACCCATCTCCCCACCTGCTTGGGGTAAGCATACGTTTTAATGCAGCCGGCTTCAATAGTCAAATTCTACTAAAGACAATTATTTATTACTGACATAATAAATATGTAATATTTTAGCTGCGACGTTCAGCCCAACTTGGCTCAGGTTCGGATAAGGTCAACATTTACAGCAAATACATACATACATATGTACAAATCTGAATAATTTTTTGGTGGGAACTGATACTTGGGAATACTAATTTTGACGAAAAATAAAATTTGCAATTAACCACTTCAACCCTAGGAGACGAGTTTTTTCATACCTTTCACCCCTAGTAACCGCGAATTTTTACCTCCCTTGACCCCGAAATTTTTATCTACTGCATGACGTTAATTCCTGGGCCATGAATTAAAAAATGGTGTTCCCACCGGAATTATTTTGGACACTTTTTTATGAAAATTGATGTGAATAACCTTTCAAGAAGGGATTTTGAGTTGTAATTTGCATTTTTGAGTTGTGGCGAACAACCAATGTTTATAGCCGAAAATAGCCAACACGCCGAATTTTAAAAATGATTGTAATTGCATGAAAAGTTAGACAAGCATGGAGTAATACTTGCATAATAGTACGTAAACTCGCAAATATTGATTATAGCCCCTAAAGCGCCTTAGGAGCCGATTTTGGGCGGGAAAACCAAAAATCCTTACAATGACTTTAAATAGACAGCAATGACAATGAATAATTATCCCGTGAGAGGAAATTGCTCGAAAATAGACTATGGCGCATCTGGTGAATAGAAATCAATTTTAAGCGGGAAAATTAAATTCTATTAATTTCTGGCAATCTCTCAATTTTTAATTTTCCTGCCCAAAAGATATTTCAGCGGCACCCGATACGTAATCATTAATTTTGACGTAGTTTACCCTACCGGCAAGATTATTTGTGGTATATAATTAAATCCATGCAATGATGCAATTCATCAAACTTTTAGTTTTCTCGCCCAAAACGCCCGTTTGTGCTACATGCGAGCAAAACAATTTCTCTAATCTTATCGTAAAGCGTTGTTGAAATAAATCGGTGTCGAAATTTCCGTGCAAAAAACAGTTTTCACAACTCGGCGTGTTGGCTAGATATAGCCACTTGGCTATTAATTTATTTTGCATCCCTTTCTAATGTTATTTCCTAAGAGACAATTTATCTTCCCGCCTAAAGGGCGGGTTGTTGACTCATAACTCTTGCTTTGCTTTGCTTGGAGAGGCAATGACCTAATTTTTTCCGGATACGACACATAGTCGTAGGCCGGTGTGAACGGAAAATACGCCACATAGTCGTATCCGTTGTCAAGGGTCAATACGACACATCGTCGTATTCCGGTGCCAAGGGAACTTACGCCACATGGTCGTACTCGGCGTAAAGGTCAAATACGCCACATAGTCGTTATAGGGGTGAAGTGGTTAACCAAACAATTTTGAACACGAGTATTCATGATAATTAAAAGATTAATAATTGTAATTTAATCATCATATCAGTGGTACTACGCACTGCATCATATTCAGCATTTTGAGTTTTATCCTGTTTTTTGATACATTATGGTGTGCAGATAGATTAAAGAATATTGTGGAAATTTTGCACGGTAAAAATTAGCAAACAAATTATGTATATATGCCTGTCAAAACTGTAACATTTGTAAATCTAAAAAACAGTTTGAAATGTTAAAAATAAATGGTGACCAGTTCTTTAAAAGCTTATACATAAATCTTACAATGTTTATTTGTATCAAAATTTTGCGTAGTTCTTCACCAATAAAATTTAATCAGACCTTTTGTTCTTAGGATTAGTTTTTGACAAATATTTTTTAGATCGAATTACAAATAAAATTACAAATTAAAGCTAAATCATCCTCAGATTTTGAGCAACTTTATTACAGTGAGTTGATTGATGAAGTAAGTGAATTAATTAATAATCAATTACTATTTAGTGTGAAACGGAAAATTTTGAGGTATAAAATCATAGTTGTATAATAATTAATATGTATAAAGTGCGGTTAAATTGAGACAATTTACGGTGGGAAGATATGTAGTACATACGAAATTGATCACGTTCTCGAATCACCAATCTACACGATAAAGAACATAAAATTTTCATTTTTAGCGGAAATATGTAAGTATTCATACTTACAATGCGATGGTGTGAAGTGTTACCCTTCGATTTGGTTAAAATTTTGCAGTTTACTTAAGTAAATACAACTAACATTTCTTGACGCAGTTTGTGCGAGGGTTGGAATTAGTCAAAACATTTGAAGTCAAATTTGAAAAACTGAAGATTTTTCCCTTCGAAGGGAATATGAGTGTTCCTCCGATTGGTAAAAATCCTCCCATTTATCAAATTTGAGGTCAAATATTTTGCCTAATTCCAACCATCGCACAAACTACGTCAAGAAACGTTGGCTGCATTGACCGACTTGGACCACATAATTTTAAAATTTGAACCAAATTGGAGGGTTACACTTCACAGTACTTCACACCATCGCATTATTAGTAAATCAGAGAACAATTCATTACACACTTTCCAGTCTCCTAGATTTTGAGGTTGCCGGCGACGTAGTCTTTGTCGTCGTCGTCGTCATCGCTATCGTCGTTGTCGTCATCGCTATCGTCGTTGTCCTCGTCATCATCACCCAGTGTTACGACGGTTGCGGCATCATCGCGTTCCTTTTCCGCTTTGAGAATGTCCGCCATTATCTTGTCCCCGTCTTCCAGCTCGGAATACCGCTTGGAAAATACTTCCGCGTACTCGGTCACTTCTTCGAGGGACTTGTGACGTAGATATTGAGCAATGCGGGCCATGTCGCTCCGACCGAGGGAACGAACTACTCTTATAAACGTGGTATAGTCAGTCTTCCTCCATTCGTAGAATCCAGTCTGCACACACATAGATAAAAATTGTAGGTTTAAATTTTATTAATAATTTATTATTTAATTTACAATCATTCTTAGCGGCGGGAACGGGGGGTATTGTTTAGATAAGCGTTACTTTTCTCCATATTAACAAACCGCGGAAGTACGGATGGGGACAAAGGGACAATATCCCCGCAGTTATTTGATAATCTGCCCAGCTTACATACAGGGTAGTTTAAATGTATCAGTACAAAGAAAAATTTGTCACCGGAAAAAATTCATAAAATTCCATTCGTTACTGAAATTTTGTCTCTGAAAATTTCAAACTGAAATTCAACATTTTAGGAACTTTGCCATCAATGTTCCATCAGTTTTAGATAATTATCTCAATCCCAAATCCTGTAACTAATGGAGATTTATGAATTTGTTAGGTCCAAGATTTCAATTGTAGAGAGACATTTTATTAACCACCTTATAAACCTCCTCCCTCCCTCAACCTAATGTCCCCCCGGCTTCCGCGGCCACTTTGTCTCCGCCCTCCTAAACTTTCCGTCGCCAACGGTTAATAAAATGTCAAACTCACCCTGTCATGAGTTTTCTCTGAAGGACGCTTCGGTTCCAGGAGCGCTTCCATCTCTTCCTTCTCGCTGAGAGAGAGAGGTTCAGCCTCGTCAATCTTCCGCTGTTCTGCCTTTCGCTTACTCTCATACGCCACACCGCTTAAATTTAAATTATCGAGTTGCACCTGGAGAAAAAAAAATTGTAAAGTACGAGTCACACGTATTAAAGATTATGTGTAAAGCTACTTTGTAATTTTGTGTCTTCCGGTAGTGTAAAATGGTGCGTTCCATTAACTCTCCGAGACGGAGAGGACGAAACTGAAAAGGCTTCCAGATAGGGAGGGACGTAGGAATACCGAGGCGTTCCTGGAAAGAATTGGTCCGTAAATTAATGCGAAACTTGACCAGTGACCAGCAATCTCCTCGGAAGTCATGGGGACATTAACGAATAACATAGGGAAGGGTTTACACACCATGGGACACACGATAACCATTGGACATTGCCCTCTGTCCCGACGCCTCCGCGGATACTGGTGAACAGACCACGGATTAATTTATGTTTAAGATTACCTTCATGCTCGGCGTTGCGTAGCTGACAGGCTTCGGTACTCTTCTTGAATTTCGGGGGGCAATACTTTCCATGATAATGGCCAGCTTGGCTTCCTTGTAGAGTGGTTTTTGCCTAAAATACCAAAACTTGATAGTAAGTATAAGCATGTCCCTCTAGTTTGTTAATTAAATTACCTGTAATTTTCCCCATCAAAATTCATAATGTAATCCTCCTCTTCGTCACTTTCTCCTCCCAGCTTTAGCCCGTCGAGCCCCTTCGAGTCCAAACCTGAATCAAGACGCTCCTCCAATTCGTCATTCTTTAACTTGCTTCGCTGTAAAATTGTCTCGATCGTTTCATCCACGATGTCGTCGTCCATGCTGGACAAAATAATTTTTGACCCGAATCGAACCATTTCCAACAATCCGGCGGCACTGGGACCGGTGGTGGCGTTGACGAGACGACCTGTACAAGAGAATAAGGTTTAAAATCTATTTTTTTTAAATTATACGGCTAATTATTCGTCGTCACCTTGTTGGATGACCATCTTGTCCAATCTTCTCTTAATCGAGGCTCTCTCAATCATCTTTTCTTCCACGGTGTTCTCCGTGATGAGTCGAAAAACTCGGACCGTTTTGGTCTGTCCGATTCGATGAGCTCGATCCTAAATAGTTTACAGTTAATTATAAATTTACCTCTAGATGTACCCTACTCATCCAATAAGTCACTCACAATGGCTTGAATATCTGCTTGAGGGTTCCAATCACTGTCAAATAAAATTACGACATCCGCTGACGCCAGGTTGATCCCGAGACCGCCTGCTCGCGTGGTCAGCATAAAAATGAACGTCGAACTTTTCTTCGAATTAAACTCTTCAATCGTGTCTATACGATCTTCATGGTCCGTACTTCCGTCCAGGCGGTGGAACTATGGGAAAATAAGAACAAAATGTCAATTAATCAAACAGTGGCAGAAAATGTCAATTAGTAAAATATGTACATACAAATGTCACTTAATAAATTAAATATGGATAAACAAATGTCGATTTATGAAATATTGACGGAAAACGCCAATTAATGAAATACATATGTACAGAAAAATGTCAACTAATTAAATACGGATAGAAAAATGTTAATTAATATTAATTAAGTAATAATAAAAATGGAGAAAAATCCCAATTAATTAAACATGGACAAAAAATGTCAATGAATAAAATATGGATTCTACTTCACAATTTTTTTAGTAACAAATTTTTCTCCCTCACCTTGTACTTCTTCCACTCGCAATAATCCTCCAAAATATCCAGCACCATTTTAAACTGACTAAATATCAGGACACGGGATCCCTCCTGCTTCAATTTTGCCAAGAGTTTGTCCAGCACTGCAAGTTTTCCCGACGCCTTGACGAGATGACTGTCCGTCGTGTACGGGGGACCAGGTTCCACCCCGTGGAAAAGGTACGGATGATTCGCACACTTTCTGAGTTGCATGAGAATATTGTGCAACCGCATTTTCGTCGCGCTTCCAGCCGCATTGATAATTTCTATGTTTCCAATGAGCAGTTTTTTGTACCAAACGCGCTGCAAGGGTGACAGCGGAACGTAAATGTTCTGCTCGTTCTTTGGCGGAATGCCTGTCTCGACGTCGGCCTTGATTCGTCGGAGGAGAAATGGACGGAGAATTGCGTGCAGGCGATCGACGAGGGACGTGTCGCGGAGACATTTCTTGAGATCGAACCAATCGTCAAAATTCTAGAGGGGGAATTAATTAAAAAACAATTATTAATTTGGATCTCGCCGAAATTTTAGTGGAAAACGAGGAAACTTTTTATTTCGCCAATATTTCGAATGCTGTCTGACATTCGTTATTAACGCAAATGTAAAAGAGATAAAAAATTGTCGCGAAGATTTTTGAAAACATCAGTGGTTAGTCTTTGAAAATTCCGAAAATTATGCAATTTTTTGACGTTGGATACTGAAGTCAAGTTTTGACGTGATAAAAATGTGAAGTAATAAATGTAAAGTAATCAAGTAAATTAATTTTACTTGATTAATTCATCAAAAACTAATCAACTTTTCAGCTTACTTCTGACGAATCGAATACTTTTGGCAGCAAAAAATTGAGCAGGGCCCACAACTCGTGGAGATTATTTTGCAGCGGGGTTCCCGTCAAGAGGAGACGATTTTTGGAATTAAATGCTCTCACGTACGCGGACAATTGCGTTTTCTCGTTTTTAATCCGATGAGCCTCGTCGATGACGAGGTAGTGCCAATTAATCTTTTTTAACGTTCCTCGCTCCCTCAGCACCATTTCGTAAGAGGTCACAAGTACATCCCAGCTCGACATTTTGGTCATTTTTTTGCGGATGAGTTGATTCTAGAAATACAAATGTTTTGATAAAATTGCGAAGACAAGGGGTCAAAACCGGTTTAAACTTGTTCGTCGTTACCCTTTCATCCTTTGTTCCGATAAGGCAGACAGTTCTTATTCGGGGACACCACCGTTCGAACTCGGCCATCCAGTTTCCTAACGTGGATTTCGGAACGATCACCAAGTAATGGCCGGAAATCTTCAGATCCAGTTTTAAATAGCTGCAAAAAAGGTGTAAATTATACATAACAGTTAAACAGCCTGCAAAAACAGTGATAGTTGTACAAAAAGTTACATAACTACAAAATAAAGTGCAAATTATGAATACAAATTAATAACTTGGAAAAACGGTGCTAATTATAGACAAAAGTTAAGAAACTGCAAGTGAAGTGAAGTTTTCACTGGGAAAATTATACATAAAAGTTAGATAAGTACAAAAATCAGTGCATTGAGCTTAAAGAAGCGAATGCAAATTATATACTGTGACCTTATCTTATTTTGCAAATACATATTTACCCAATGAGAGCGATAGTTTGCAGCGTTTTTCCTAAGCCCATTTCATCCGCTAATATCCCATTAATCCCATTATTGTAGAGATTAATCATCCAGTTAAGCCCCCTCACTTGATAGTCCCTCATAGCTCCGTTGGAAATAAAGGGAGGCGACGTTGTGAACCTTATCGATTCCTCGGCAGCTTTTGATGTAGCCAGTTTAACTTTTTTTGGCGGATTTTCTTCCTCTGAGTCACCATCTACCGAGTTGTTTTCAGACCTAGAATTAAATTTTAACCAAATAAAATTTATGCCAAGATTTCATTAGTAACTTTAAAAACAATGAGGTACATAATTCACACAGTGTCTGATAAAATCCGTAAATTCTTCAAACTTACAAACTTTTACAAATATGTCAAAGAAAAATTAGTTTAAAATATCAACGGCGTTTCGTAACTTTGTAAGTTAACGTTTGCCGTCGTTTGTTTGCAAAATAATTTTACACACTTTACAAAAACTTCCAAGGACTGCCTGAATTAATTTTGACTACTTACTTATCTGGTTGAGATCTCCGCGACCGTTTCGCCCTACTAGGACCAGCCTTAGTAGGAGATTTGCTTCCTCCTCCATTACCCTCCGCAAAGACCGCTTTGGCATAAAATTCTGATCGTTTCAACAAATACTCGAGGCGACGATCCTCATTAGCCGTCTAAATAAATAGCACATAAATGAACAATTAATTATTCAATCCTCCCCTTAAATTATGAATATAATTAGTCAACTAATTTCTCACACTGGCATTATCTTCTGACTCATCTGCCTCAACTAAGAAACGGAGTTTGTTCTTTGGTACTATTTTACTCCGGGGGACAATAATTGCACCGTCTGGAACAATGTTTTCCTGGTCTTCCAGCTGAAATCATTAATTTATTAATATTTAATATCTATGGCTTTTCAAAATTCAATGAGTTTCCTTCTCATCTTCCTCACTCAATTTATTAATATTACTTTACTGATTTTTTAGAGACGTTAATTATTTTACATCGGTATTTTTGAAGGACAATATTTAAAAATTTAAATAGTTACCAATTCGGACATCGATGTCTCACTCTCGTCCGTAATTTCCTCCAAGTTCACCGGATTGGCAGTGTTTTTCTCCATCTCACCCTTGACCTTATCTGACCCCGACTTTATTTTTTGTTCTTCCAACCGCTCCAGTCTTATCGAGCAAGGTGACACTCGTGGATCGGTCGTCGTGTTGCCGTGGTCCCCCATGGTGACACTGCACTAGACGGATGTGAATTAATAATTGGCGAGATTATTAATTTGCAAAATTATTTGCAAAATCACGACAAGACAAGAGTGAAGTGAAGAGTGGAGATTTTTTTCCTCGTGAAGTGAACAAAGAAGACAAATGACCGGTTTATTTCGCTCGTTCGTTTCACTCACCGATTGGCTGCAGGGATGAAGTGAGACGAAGACGAAAAATATGTGTGAGGGGCCTTACATTAAGAATGTGATGGATTTTCAGAGAACCTTGACCCCTACCCCCTGGTCTGATTAATGCATATACCTCTTGTCATAATTAACGTGGAAGAATAGGATGCCTTGACACTTCAAATCGATCACATACCTTGTGCACAGTCCCTAATAAACTTTGTTGTACGCTTTATTTTCGCAAACCAACGTTTCATAGAAAAAAGAACATTTGTGTTTTTGCTCCAGAGAATTACATATGTACGTATTATATTATTTATTTAGTATAGCTTACTATAATTTATAAGGTTAAAATTCAACATAAAACCAAACTTGTAGTTTTTCACTGCCAAGAACCGAGTATACAAAAAACTATTATTGGATTAAAGTTCAATTATTTTTGTATTAAATTATATACAAGTTAAAACATACAACTAAATATGTTATATATGTAGGTAGAATTTCGTGCTCTACAAGTTCGTCATCCAGAATTTTAAAATAAATTTCCAGAACAACGAAATTATTAAAAATGTGTTAATTTTGACGATTTTTTTAGGGTCATCGAATTCTAAGTTGACACAATAAATACATAAATATATATGTATTTAACCATGATTTAACCTGTGCATACATAGATATGTACCTTAACACCTTCATTGACGGTAATAAATAATATCCCAATAATTTCGATATTATTTTCCGTATCGACAATGCATTGATAACAGCGCACCTTTCCAATTAAACTCATGTCGTGATATGGCTCAGGTGCAATGAGTTTTGGGCTAACATAATTTCGCAATATCTTTTAAGTTTATGGAATTGTAGTACAATGTTCCTTGAACAAGGAGGCAAAACCACGCACTTAGAAATTCAGTCTTAAAATAATACCAAGCAGTATTCATACATATGTACATGTACATATAGCAAAATGGTATTGATAAGTAATACCTTGTAGTAATACATATATAGCTCTGTAGTAAAGTTTTACGGATGTCAAATTTGCATGGGCCCGTATAAGTAAGGCCAAGCTGTAGCACCTGGGCACTTATTTTTTCTAATGGGAAGATTTCTCACTCGAAGCCTTATCTCGAACACTGGTTGCTCATTGCATAATTTTTCATACATAGATAATCAAATGTTTAACATGCTCGTCTGTAATTACATAAATATATAACTTATTTTCAGATAAGTTGATTTGTGAAAACCCAGTGGGATGAATTTGGAGGATGTACAACCACCACTTGAACATGATATAAAATACTGATCACAAACACACCAGTGAACACAGAACACCCAAATTTTGATCAAAGCGGCTATAATTTTCATAAAATCATGGACAAAACAATTTTCACGTTATTCCTCTTCGTCGCCACGTGCGCAGGATTCCTCCAAGAGCTGACCCTTTACCACGGACCTGACTGTACCGCGGCTGAGATGACTTTTCGAACCAAGGAGTCAAACTTATCAACTTGGGAATGGCAACACTTTCTTCCAGCCGTGCAGTCATACAGGGCTCATGGGTGGTATGTATTCACTTCGTATTATGTAATTACATATGTACCCTGTTAAAAATGTGGTAGTATATGTATATCCCGTACTGGTATTGATTTAGTAATAGCTTCCTACCGGATTGGTAGTAGTTTGTTTCTGAGTAGTAAATTTTTCATTCACATAATATTACATAAAAGGTAATGCCTGTTATTACCAGTGTTGGTAGAGCCATACCTGTACTCTGTTCAGTAATGATTTAGCACCAATGTGTAAGACCAAGCGATATATGACTCTACCAAAGTGGTATTGGTACGAAATAACGTGCAGTAATGGTTCGGCAGTATAGTCAGTGTTTCGCTTTTGCCGGGTAAAATCGTTTTTTGTTGGCCAGTGGTCAAAAGTGGTCAAAAGTGGCCGAAAGTGGCCAAAATGGTAGAAAATGGTCAAAAGTGGTCAAAAGTATTCTATTGGCTAATGGTCTGCGCGGCGGGTTTAAACAGACTCTCGGCCGGTATTATTTATTCTTTGCACAAAAAATAACCATAGTTCTTACAAAGTAATTAAAATAGTCTGTAATAATTGAGGGTGTGAATCGAATAACGACTTGTCAACAAACTCCAACATTTTATTCTGAACATTGGTAATAATATCACCTTGGATATGATACAAAAACCTACTTCAAGCAACTTTGTGGAGCCTTTTAAGATGGCATTAATGCCATCTTGGTAGTCAATGGCAACACATTTGGGTGGAAAAGACCCCCACCGGCCAACCACTTGACCGATCATGCCCATCTCCGAACTCATCCTTACTTTTTACCCGAAGATGAAGTATGCAAAATTTCAAGTCGATAGCTTTTGTTTAAAGAGAGTTATCGTGCCTACAGACGGACGGACAGACAGACATCTTGACAGATCTATAAGGCCATCTTAAAAGGCCTAAAACGGTACCCAGGTCTTAAATTTTTAGCCTGAGTCAGGGCTTATGGAACCGTCATGTCCGTCCGTCCATCCGTCTGTCCGGCACGATAGAGCCAAAACGGCTGAACCCATTGACTTGAAATTTTTACCAATGCATATTGGACAAACGAGTTCGAAGATGGGCGAAATCGGTCAAGTGGTTGACCGGTGGGGGTCATCGGAGTAGGTGGGGTGTTTGCACCAAAATGTCAAAATTGTCGCAGAAAGCTGAAATTTGGTACAGAGGTTGATAATGGTTTCTAATGAAAGAATATAAAGTAAAATTTCAAAAATTTTCATCTGGAGGGACCCTTGGGCGTTACCCATACCGATTTTTAAAACATCCAATCGAACTGAAAATTGGTGTGGGGTTTGCTAATGGAAGAGTATAAATTGAAATTAAACACATTTTCATCTGGACAGACCCTATGAGGTGACCCAAACTAATTTTTCAAAATCAAATCGAGCTGAAATTTAGTAGAGAAGTTTATAATGGCTCCTAATGGGACAATATGAAATTCATATTATGAATTCAAATAGGAACAATTTTCATCTGGAGGGGCCGTATTGGTGACGAGAGACCCATACAGATTTTTTAAATTGAAATTTGCTACACAGGCTCCTAATTGTTACTATTCGAATAGTATGAATTTAAATTTTAAAATTGTTTTACATTCATAAATGCATGTAAAACAATTTAAAAAATCTGTATGGGTCTCTCGTCACCAATACGGCCCCTCCAGATGAAAATTGTTCCTATTTGAATTCATAATATGAATTTCATATTGTCCCATTAGGAGCCATTATAAACTTCTCTACTAAATTTCAGCTCGATTTGATTTTGAAAAATTAGTTTGGGTCACCTCATAGGGTCTGTCCAGATGAAAATGTGTTTAATTTCAATTTATACTCTTCCATTAGCAAACCCCACACCAATTTTCAGTTCGATTGGATGTTTTAAAAATCGGTATGGGTAACGCCCAAGGGTCCCTCCAGATGAAAATTTTTGAAATTTTACTTTATATTCTTTCATTAGAAACCATTATCAACCTCTGTACCAAATTTCAGCTTTCTGCGACAATTTTGACATTTTGGTGCAAACACCCCACCTACTCCGATGACCCCCACCGGTCAACCACTTGACCGATTTCGCCCATCTTCGAACTCGTTTGTCCAATATGCATTGGTAAAAATTTCAAGTCAATGGGTTCAGCCGTTTTGGCTCTATCGTGCCGGACAGACGGATGGACGGACGGACATGACGGTTCCATAAGCCCTGACTCAGGCTAAAAATTTAAGACCTGGGTACCGTTTTAGGCCTTTTAAGATGGCCTTATAGATCTGTCAAGATGTCTGTCTGTCCGTCCGTCTGTAGGCACGATAACTCTCTTTAAACAAAAGCTATCGACTTGAAATTTTGCATACTTCATCTTCGGGTAAAAAGTAAGGATGAGTTCGGAGATGGGCATGATCGGTCAAGTGGTTGGCCGGTGGGGGTCTTTTCCACCCAAATGTGTTGCCATTGACTACCAAGATGGCATTAATGCCATCTTAAAAGGCTCCACAAAGTTGCTTGAAGTAGGTTTTTGTATCATATCCAAGGTGATATTATTACCAATGTATTTTTACTCGCAGGTGGTTTTTCTACAGCATGACTGGTTTTGATTTACCCTACGTGGAAAACTCTGGCTACAGAGTGACGCCAACTTGCATAAATTCTACGGTACCACAGAAGACAAACTCGCTTAGATATGCCGGACCAGCGGAAACTGACACGCCAGCCCTGGTCGCGTACGACGGAAGAAATACGGAGCGGACAGAATTAATCTTTACGACAGACCTCGCTCACAATTTTGGATTTCTGGCGGATTACGCGATCGCAACTGGGAACTCAAATTGGACATTGTACTATTATGCAGACTTCTCCGGAAATTTTACCTGCCTCTCTGGACGCGATGGACCTGTAGGTTCGGAAATAGCGTTCCGGTCGGCTATCAAAGGATGCAACTAAGAATATATACGATGTTGTCTCGTAATATTACCGTTACGTAATTCTATGTATCTTTTGCGCTGAGAACTTTCTTTTACGAAGTGATTAATAAGAATGCTTATCAATAAACAAATAAATAATTGCCATTTACATACAAGGGCTAATAATAGTCATTTACATATTCAGTAAAGACAAATACATATATTGACAAAGAGGAAAATTTACTTTGGATTTAGTAGAGTTGACTTAGATAATTTGTAATTGAGATTGCATTTACTTTTAGAAAGGGTAACATCATTTTTAAGAGTGTATAACATACGATACATTCATTTGTATTGTGCAATTCGTAGCTGTAAATATAGTTATACACTTAAAAATCTGGTGTTAATCGTCACCGAACATTACCGTGCCGTGATAATGCTTCTCACCTAATTGTGGCGAAATTGCCATGAAAATTGGTCACCATGCGGGCACGATTTATCATCAAGTGGTGAAAAATATTAACCATTTGGTGAAGTCATATCAATATCTTTTGGTGACGATTAACACCGGGGTATTAAGAGTGTATGAATTATACGTATGTATCTCCTATGAATTTCATGCACTCTCTGCATCCAATTTACATACTCAAAATTAGTCAAAATATTCAATTTTGTTTACATAGCTTTTATATCATATCATTTAAAATTACACGAAGAGGTAATTCTTGCCTTTAGCCGTTCTTGACGTTTGAAATTTCAAACATTGTGTGCCTTATTTAAAAATTATACATATTTACAACTTTTACCGTTATTTTTCAAACACTTAAAGGAAAAATAGGGAGAAACTTTCCTAACACAGGGTAGAGGCTCGTGTAAATAAATAATTTGAGGTTTATCGATTTCAACCACATCAATTTTTCACATGGCTTATCATTCAAATTGCAAAAATACAGATACCTATGTATATACTGTGGTTAATATCAAACTAAAATAAATAAGGCTGGTTTGCAGTAAGTATGTAGCTTTCTCCTCTGGTTAAATGTTATTAAAAAACGTCCCCGTTAGCATTTTTGTCGGGCTCCTTTGCATTACCCAAGTTTCGATTTATTAAAACTTCGGTAAACTATAATTGATATTGCAAATATATGTATGTATGTACTTATGGTTGTATGTATGTGTAAGGAATTGATACAACAACATTCTAATGGGTTCCATTAGATGTTTTATCCAAAAATAAAAACTGCATATTTAGTGCAGGAACAAAGACACTATACATGCATATAAATATGTGTGCATTGTTAAAATCTCGTAGTCATGTGTACATACTCCATATGGTATTGATTTGATGACAACTTTCTACCATAATTGGTAAAAGTTTGCTACAAAGTAGTAAATTTTTCATTACAGCAACATTATGTACTCTGATCAGTAGTGATTTATTACCAAATTGTATGTGTATGTGTTTAATGACAAATGTTCAACATGCATGTACACGTTCGCAATTTTTCAATATGTATACATATAAGTATTTACATAAATATGCATGCCACAAATGGTTGATATTCTTTGGCATGAATTTCCAACCGACATGACAAGCACAACGTATAATTGTCCTCACATTTATGTATCACTCTAAAATAGATAAAAGTTCAGGCGTAAGCTTTTTCAAGTTGATTTGATGTAGATACCTAAACATGCAAAACATATATTTGAAATTGGTAATATGTACGTCGATTATCTTTCCAAAAGTTGCTGAATGCTCTTTTGTGTGGCATACTTTCATTGGTATGTACGTATTTTTCTTAATTTTTATGCGCATGTACCGATGTACATCACAGAGTTTGCATGTCTCTGTTCAAGAATAATGCATATATATATATGTCTGAGTCGAGCAATTTCTCCATACAGGGATGCTTTAGTATTGCGAAAATGTCATAGAACAAGTTCCCAAGGAGAAAGTAAGTACGATTGAGTCAACCAGTTCTCCAGCTGGCTTTCTTTTGCTTAGGTTGACTCAGATTTTCAACCGCTTTCACTTTTAGATAAATATTGTCCACCACATACTTGTTCACAACTTGATGTTGAAATTGAGAAATTTGTATTGACTTGTGTATAATGGAAGAAGCATGTCAGTGAAAAGTTGTCTGCAAGGGGTCAATTTTGACCGGAACGTGCTAATTTATCAAGCAGGAGAGAACATTACAGGGAATCTCGTGTTCAACGGGGGACCCAAGGGGAACAAGTTGTATGGTAATTGAGCCGTTTTTAATTAATTATTACGTATTGTGTCTATGCATGCAAATATTTACATAGACATGTCGCAATATATGTATGTACACTCTAAATAAAAATGAGTAAAATTTACCCAAGGTTGGGTAAAAAAGAGGATGACACAACTAGAAGGTAAAATTTGCCCAATTTTGGGTAAATTTTACCTTTTAGTTGTGTCATCCTCTTTTTTGCCCAACCTTAAGTAAATTTTACTCATTTTTATTTAGAGTGTACATATCGGTAGCTTAAGTCGACTTTCCCAGTTTTAATTCTGCCCACTTTCTCCAACTTTTCAACCTTTTAGACTAGTAGTTTGTCCATATATTTTTTTCCTGTCACTAAAAAAATGTTTATTGTATTTTCCTTAATTAACACAGGGCTTAATATTTATCGCATTGTGGAAAATCCAAGTTTTTAGTTTGTATGTAAGATAAGTACTTAATTCTTTATTAAAATCAGAATGAGATTTGAGTACATATACGAAGCTTCTAAAAACCAAGCTTATTGCATATGTACATACTTATTTTTTTTGCTGGTAATTATCATTTAAGAGTCTTCATCTAGATAGTCTGAATATGTAGCGTTAGTTATGTACATACTTTGCTACATCTGTACATTTTCAGACGTGAAGCTCACCTTAATTCGTCGCACGGATTACGTCTTTTACACGGAACAAGTCAAAAAAGGAAAAGCGACGAGTTTAAATCATCACTTGGATAAGACAAACACCTCCCCGTGTGGATCATGGAGTCTGCAAAAGAGTCCAGGTTTACACTCTTAAAAAAATAATGTTACCCTTTCGAAAAATTAACATAGGCTGAATTTTAAATTAAGTAAACTAAATCCAAGATAGATAAACTTTACTCTTTATCAAGTTAACAAATACATACTTTGGATTTTGTACATATTTATATCTAGTTTACTTAACATATTGTATTTACTTTTCGAAAAGGTAACATTATTTTTAAGTGTGTACATAATAAAGAAAACTTTTTTTCATAAACTCGACAAAATTTTTAAAAAAATCCCATTTTTTTACAGCCGAGGGAACCCCCCTCGCAGCCGAGATTCCCACCAAGATCCCCTTCTCTCTCCCTCTTTCCCTCGACTTATGGTCATCATTCGTCGTGCTGAACGCATTTTCCTGGTACGGTCTCATGCTCACGGCCCGCTCCCAGTCGCAGTACGGGCGCAAGGAGATGTTCATCCTTAAACGGGACATCGTCATAATTGGCAACGTGCCCAAAGAGAAAGCCCAGTTTACCGAACAGATCAGGAAAACGACCACTTTTACGACCCCATCGAAGGACGAGATCAAAATGCGGGTTTCCCTCAAAAGCGGGTGTGCCGTCCCGGGAGACAAGTTTCCATTTCGGGTCGAAGTATGGAACGGAAAGTCGTTGGCGTTAGTGGTGAAAGCCACGTTGCAGCAGAATGTCGGTTACAAATTTATGTCTCGTCGGAGACGGTACATGCGGCCGAGTGAGGTGAATATTGTGTGGCAGGGAGAAAGTGGGTCTTTTTCGGAGGGAAAGTCGGAGTGGAGGGGGACGGTTGAGATACCTTATGTAGCACCGACGGGGCTGGGGAGGGAGGGGTGTCCAAATTTCACGGTGAATTATATGCTGCAGGTATATTTGTAGTCAAATTTATAGACTTCTAAATTATCATGAATATGTATTTACTTTATACATACTATCGTTCAGCCAATATTAATTGTCTCAATTCCTTGGAAATTTTTCTGAGAGATTATTTGATTTTTGGAAAAGAATGTCAATTTTCTGCCAGGAAACCTTTCAGATTTTTTCAGACTATTAATATCGGATGAACAGTAGGATTAGAATTGTGCTTATTTATGCAAAATGATCTGTAGTATGTATGTACATATATTTAGAATTTTCCAACATGTTTATGTACATTATCATGAATTTGTACTCTATACTTAATAACTAAATAGGAATGGAATAGTTGCATTTTGATGCAAGACATCAAAAAGGCGATGGCATTTACATATATAAATTTAGATTTTAATTGTTACAGTTCGTGATCCCACGGTTTGCCAAGATCGAGACGGAGCTCCACATCGGGACGGCGACGCGAGATGAGGCCGCATCTGCAGAATTGGGCAGCGACGACATTTCTTTGGCGTACGGATTGGAAGTGACGAGATCGCTCAGCTCGTCTCAATACTCGTTGGACTGGGACGCCCTGTCCTTGGCCAGCGAGGACAGTGGGTGCTGGACAATGATGGAGGATGAAGAAGGGGACTAGTTAACCTACAATCTGTATTTTCTATCAGTGGCCGCGGAAGCTGTGGAGACGTGTGGAAACATTAACATTGCATTTAGGACAGGCTTCATAAATATAAGTAACATGAGCCAGATCATGTGGACATGGAATAACTTTGGGGCATTGTCTCTGGGTCCCCACGCTTCCGCAGGCCACTGCATTGCTATGTACCTCTTAAAATTCCGACCTTAATATGAATTGTAACCGTTACACTTATCGTTAATTATATAAGTCATGAAAATAATTCTTGCAATATGAACAAATTTTCATGCATACTAAATCAAATATTATAAATGTCAATTGCATATGAAAAATTGTTCCTGTTAAGTATAGCCATCTAGTATTTCAAAAACGTGTTTCATGAAATCTTTAAGCTTTCTTATTCCTCTTACTAACAAAAACTATATGTAATTGAAAAATTATTCAACGAACTTATGTATCAATGTTCACACCAACTCTAATAATAAATAAGGCACGCTTATTCGAATTATACAAGCAATATGGAAAAGCACGACGGATCTACATTTGTAAGTGACACGGAAATAACCAAGTGTTCTATTTCTGCTCACATTGATAAAAACTACATACTTGTGATTGCACCCATTAATCTCATTAAATCTGGACAGATTAATACATCTGTACATTATTACGCATAGCTTACATACGTCTCGCCATATATAAATATGAATTACCTATGCACATGAAAAACATAAATAAATATAAATATACATATAAATGCACACTTGTTTAAATAAATGTCTTTGAATGCATGCAAATGTAATATATATGAGTACGAGTGTTTATATGTATACCATTCCAACGAAAATTTCAGCACTTTGTGCTACCAATATTACCTGCATGAAATTATTTATAAAACATTCCAATGTACTAAAATGAATCGATGAAAGGAGGAAAATTCCAAATAAATGAAACCCTTTGTCTGCCAAAAGCATACAGGATTTTGTCCATCAAGTCGGGTTCCCACGAATTGGGCCGATTTTACATTGTATAATTGAGATTCCAAAAAGGAAGCTAAGGACCGTACACAAAGTATGAGTCCAACATTTGAAATAAATTTTCGACACATTTTTATCCCTATTTCTCCCACGTTATGACAGATAGGAGATAGAAATACGTATGCCTTTGATGGTTGTCCTCTTCAAATTTATCCCTCACATCCTTTATGCACGCCCCGAAGCATATGCTGGACATATTTTAGTACAAGCTGGAGCCAGCCACCTCTTTCTGCATCCATTTTGAAGCCGACATTCGTTCGACGTGTTGCAGCTGTTGAGTGCCCATTAAAATGTGAAATTTTAAATTTACCGAGTTCCATCTTAAATTGGACTCGGTCACCTAATAGCTGTTCACCTTGGCGAATTTGGTAAGTCACAAGGAACTGGTTTATTTAATGCTTTTGTGGAACTCTTTGTGTTATTTTTTGTTAATTCAATGAATCAATTACAAACAAATTTATTTATTTATTTAAATGATATATGGCCTTTATCCCTCATCATGCTGTGTGGTAATTAGTAACGATAATTAATTTCTCGGTGTATAGGTTTTCCAGCCAAGAGGAGAAGAAAGTACGGACTAAAATGGAGGAACGAGGGATTGGAATTCGAATAGCTTTCGTCACCTTGTTGGACTGGGATTCATTTAGGTCATGTGACCTTTGACATAAAGGTACATATTATTTAAAACTTGTTCATTTACATGTTTCGCTCCTGGTCAATTTGTCAGCTCGATAATTACACACGTTTTCTTCCAGATTTATGTACAGTCAGCCAGACTTTGGACTTTATTCTCCATAATAAAAATAATCCAATGGCTCCCAAGGCAAGAATGTATGTAAAAATGTCACCTCTTTTTTCCAAACTTTGTTCCAGAGGAAAATTCCAATTATTAATTTTGATTATAACAAATACACAGAATTCCCATCATCGATGTCAATTACCTTTCCGTCCAAATGCCATTTCTACAGGGGACGACTTCACGACACAAATTTACAGACTTCAGTTAAGATTTATGTACCTCGTGTTCAAGTTTACGTTACATATTGATACATATTTATAGCTTTATTAATTAGTAAGACAAATATGTATGTTGGACAAAATCCTGAACCATATTCTTTTAGACTTGGATAATCATGACACGATAGGCGGTATGGGCAGCGTCATTACGTAAAATTAGATCAATTTTCAAAATTTTTATTAAGTAGATAGGTATCTAGATAGGGTACTTCAATATTTAGATTAATTCACTTATTCATAGACTTGTTATGGGAACCAATTTAACTTTGAGATAATTTTATAACTCATTTTTTATTTTGAGCGAAATTGGTGCACGTTTGCTAAATTGTGAGAAACGTTACACGGTGACAGGATAACTAACTTGCAATTTTGCGTCTAATTAATTCTCCACTTTTTCTGAGGTGCGATTTAATTAACACTTCATTAATTTTCAAGTACACTAACTTCTCATGGACTCTGTACATGGTAGTATTAGCCGGACCACGTAAGAGCAGGACGGAGAGCAGACAAATGTGCAGTAGAAACCGCCTACCGCCCGTAAGAAATACCTGGGAGGCAAGTGGTGCACCACCGCCATCGGCTTCCCATGTATTTCTTACGGGCAGTTAGCGGTTTCTACTGCACATTTGTCTGCTCTCCGTCCTGCTCTTACGTGGTCCGGCTAATACTACCATGTACAGAGTCCATGAGAAGTTAGTGTACTTGAAAATTAATGAAGTGTTAATTAAATCGCACCTCAGAAAAAGTGGAGAATTAATTAGACGCAAAATAATAAATGGTAGTAACTTTCTGTATATGAATTTCTATCCACATAATTTTTAATGGATGCTGTGAGGACAATTTTTGGTATTAGGATTTTTCTAGCATACAAAGTAAGCTTTTCTAAAACTTTCTCTCTGGAGTATGTAAAAAAATATGGGGATCTTTTGTGCATGTAAAGTCGCAAAGATTCTTGACTAACAAGGAAATGAAAGGTCCGATAGTTAGGCAGTATGCGATCCTTTATTCAGTACAATTCTCGCTGGACAGCCCCCAGAATGAGAGAGCAGGCAGGGGTGATACAGTTAGGTTTTCCAAGATTTAAGTAATGGTAATTTTATACCAGATGGAGCACCGGAAATTTATCGATATTTTCTGTAGTTATGTTTTACGTTATTTCGATTTAAACACGAGTATTTGAAGCTCTCCCACTTCTTTGGTATCCTAGTCCACCAATTAGCAGCATTCTTGAATTGGTGAGGTGATTATTTATACAAAATTTGGCCCTCACATATTTAAATAGTTCATATAAATTAACAGTCAAGACGGTCATTAATAAGGTATATTTTATGACTTCTAGTGATCTCCATCCTCCAGGTATCAGAAATACAGTTATCTTTTAGTGGACAATAATGGGATATTGCCCTGTGTTAGGAATGCAGCAGATAACTGGTTATCTGTGCAGATGCTTGTGAGAGCAGATAATTGATTATCTGCTTAAGGTGTACCTAGATAGCGCAAGGGTTACTGCGACCCACTCTGATCCGTCACGCAGCCTACCGATATCAGAGGTTGCACTATAAGGTATGCAATGAGTATGAGAGAGGAGGAGGAGATGTGTACGAGTATTTTTCACTACTGATTTTATTCTCAAAATGTGCTCTTTATATACAGAAATACCAGGAAGTATATTCCCTAAAATTACGGGAATGATGAAATCCGCGATGTGATTTCATGTGCAGATAAGCTAATAATACAAAGTAACACCGTAACCCGGAACAAGGAAATATTAATATGTAATAGTAATTTAAATGTGATTTGCATTGACGTCATTATTCATGATGTTGCATCATCATCTTCATGTGCATTATGCAACATTTAGGTTATCCGTATGATAAATGATTATCTATATATGTACAATGTCGAGCTCACATATTTAAATAGTTCACACAAATTAATAGTAACGATATAATCAAGACGGTCATTAATAAGGTACATATTATGACTTCCAATGATCTCCAGGTATCAAAAGCACAGTTATCTTTTAGGTTATCCGTATGATAGAAAGTTATTACACCAAAGTTTACGACTTAGCTTAACCAATATGATGATTTGAATTTCATTTGGTAGACAATCAAGTAGCTATTTGTAGGTGTATTTAATATCTTAAAAACTGACTATTTCTTGTTAATTACACGATTTCAGTCTAAAAGATTAGAATATAGGATGATCAGTACGTGGTAATGTGTCCATGATATTGAATTTGTTATTTAAAAGAGTGCGATTTCAAGAAGAGTTGCATCTTAGATAGGTTTCATATAGCTTGTATGTCAACAAAGACTGTTTGGTTGTTTCGCCAAGAAGTTGACCTTGTCGTAGTAAATGTAGAAGAGATGACATTAAGCTTAGAATATAGGATAGTTAATGGCACGTGGTAATGTGCCCCTTACACTAAATTAGTTATTCAGTTTAAAAGATTCTTGGTATTAAGACGAGCTATAAATTAGATAGGTTTCAAATAGCTTGTATGTCAACAAAGACTGTCTGGTTGTTTCGCCAGGAAGGTGACCTTGTTGTAGTAAATGTAGAAGAGATACATACGCTTCGAAGACGGTGTTTGGTGTCTTTGATGTAAGTCTAAATAAAACAATTAGGAGTAAATCCAAAAATTAAAGAAATACGTATTTATCACGATATGAAAAGAAAAAAGCTGGTGCGATACTGCTAAAAATGTTGCATGATGAAACGGGAGACAGTGCTGACGATTGGTAAATCAGTATATCGCTGATCAGGCTTCTGCATTCAAGAAATTGCAGATTGTGTGGGTGTACCCATCAAGGAGCTAGTAGTTCCTTCTCGTCATATTTAATCCACACCTCGTGACCGTAACTTCTGTATGTATGATGACGCTTTCTCTTCTGCTAATTGTTTTTCCGACATTACTTCCAATACCGTCTTGGCATCATCGTCATGCCCATGGGGCAATTTTGAAGGAAACTGTCACTCAATTGGTCCAATTCCGAAAAGGATACATTCACTGATAAATTTGGTGCCATGGTAAGAGCACACGTGTTATGCGTTGGTGGCTGTCCAAGGCGGCGATGTGCATAATTGAATCGTATAAAAATATAAAATTGTCGTTCTAAATACAAGAACTTAGGGAAATATGACAAGTAGTTAATGTGAATAATTCCAGGTTGATAAAGAGCTTGATTCGGTAAAACTCGTTTATAGCTCGACACATTTGAACGTCAAATAAATGTTGATTGATGTTCATTAAGCATTACTGCATTATCATAGTATACATATATAATTCTATTCAGAAAGTTTCGGTTGGTTAAACTGTATGAGAATGTTAAAGGAGCATTAAGAAATCAGTATAACAAGCATTGAGTAGAAAATAGGAGTGGGTGAGCCGGTAGCTATAATTTTTCTATTGATTTTTATAAGTTAAATGAAAAAAGATCCTTAATTGATCAATAACCAAGTGTAATGCGTTACTGACGTTTTAAAAGAAAATATTTTGCAATAATTCATCAAATTCTCGTTGAAGTTGATATTAATTTATTTTTTAATTCAAAAATATTCTTTGTGGGTAAAAATTTAAAAAGTTAACATATGTAGGTAGGTACTTTAAGACAATAATGAAGTTGTAATATATCATACACTTCGTAGCTGACATGTAATATAGTTAGTTTGTACAGGAAGAGTTTGATATATTGGTAAATATATATCATATTTGTGATATGATGATTTGTGAATGATAACTTTTATCAAAGATTTTATTCCAGAATATTTGATTTATATGTAGTTAATGTTACTTTAAATTAACATTTTTGCTGATTGCAAGGTTTCCAAAAGTATATTTTTAACGAAATTCGTTGATGAATAAATTTTAATGAGTGATTTAAATGTAATTCTAATTATTTGCCAAATCTCAATATTAATACGTTTGCTATTAATTTAAATATATATTTTTTAATATGTGTTGTATTTTTAATATTTATGTAATTCTCAAGTTTTAATTTAAAATTGTAATAAAAGCGGATATTTGCAATTTCTTGTGTCGAAGTGTAAAAAATTCATTAAAAATGGAATTGTCATGTTTTATAAGTATTTACTTATGTATAATTATTTTGTTCACACAGATTTTAAAATAAAATGGCATGCAATTGTACAACAACGCATCCTTTACAATTTTACACTTAAAAATACTATTACATTTTCATATCAAATACATTTTCATTAAGTTGTTAGGTGTAGAATTACGAGTGCATTTATCTATTTTTCAAACGGGTAATATTATTTTTAAGCGTGATATACCTACATGTTTTTAATTTTTTGTCGCAAATTAAATTTCCCTTCTTACATGTATTCAATATCGATTTTGAAGCCTGGTCATCGCGATGACGTATTTTACGAACGTTCCCCTATTTATTATATGTACACGGGTTAAAGTTTATGCATTTACATACCGCTCGTAATTAATACATAATACCTGGTAAATTGTGGTGAATCTTGTGGGTAAGAAACGAAAAGACAATGAAAATATTTTGCACCTCTTTATTCGGTTTCACTAAAAAATATTCAAATTCGTTAAATAGTTGTTAATTGTAGCAGCACAAAACTCAACATGTATTTACTCTTATATATTACCTTCGCTCAAAAGTTCTTAAAGAAGTTCGCACCAAATTTAATCTTTTGTTTGTACTGCGTAACTTTTAGAAAAAATTCATCAGATTACATTCATATCGATTAATCAGTTGTAATTATTTGACTTTATTTAACTTATTTAATTTGCAAGTATTGGAAATTTGAAAGTATAAATAAATTATTAGTACTGGGGCTGCACCATATTTACAATTGCCAATAAATCTTAATCATCCCAGTAATCGGTTCGCGACACGTCGCACAACGCGTCATCTGCTGTATACAGTTTCCACAAAAGGGGTGTCCACACATCAAAACGAAATCCACATCTTGTCCGACACAAATTGAGCATAAAATCTGCACACAAAAAAAAATCATGGATAAAGTTGAACCCAAAATTATTAATTGCACATACACACTTAGAAATCCAGAAGCCAATACCAAGCGGTTGTAATCATGTACATATGTACATATGACGCTACCAAAGCGGTATTGATAAGTAAATACGATGTAGTAATAGCCAGGTATTACAATTTTACCGTTTCGATAACAAATGTTTCAGGACAGGTATAATTTTAATACCAAGCGGTAGCAACTTTAATACCGATAAATCAATACCTGCCTGAGTATACCAAATTTCTAAGTGTGTACATTTGTATTCATCACAAATCTACTTTGTCACCTTTTTATCTCGAGCGAAATAAACTTCTTTAAACCCCTTCAATTTCCTCCAGTCCGTTTTTAATTGGTTAATTAAAGTCGTGAATTTATTCGACTCGATGAAACCTTCGGCGCAGAATAGTTTCAAATCTTTGCCATGCTGCGAAAGCTTTTTGATCTTCTTTTTAGCTTCGTCCCACTCGTTGAGGATCGTGGGGACGAGATTTTCTCTGCTTTGGAAGGTTTGGATTGCTCGGGACATCCATTCTCGGAGGAGGGGACCTTCTACCTCGATCCTTTCCAGGGCGGATAACGCACGTTGGTGAGAGGTCAGGAGGTTGGTGACTTTGTTGAGAAGGGTGATCTCCCGTTGTACGAGGTGTTCGAAAGATTGGAGACCCTGGGAAAAATCAGTAAGTGGAATTATGTAAATATATACATACATAAGTGAATGGTCAATTTTTCAATAAATTTTGTTTTGGGGTATTCATGTCATTACGATTTCGCATGTTCCCATGGAAAAAATAAAATTGCTAATTAAATGATAGCCTTGGAGATGGGCAAGTTCGCAAATGAATTTTAAAGCATTTTTTTGCTAACTTGCGAACTTTTTTAGCCAACAATGCGACTCGTAATGTAATGAGTACCCCCAATGTGTATATATTTCCATGGGTATGAAAACCGTGGAAATATACTTATACATATTTAATATTTACGAATAACGTAAAATTATGAATTTCTGAGCATTTTTTCATGAAATTGTTACTTAAATTGAGTCCTCTTATTTTAAATCGAGCAAAACTCTAGAAATGAATTTAAAAATTTCTGCATTTTTTTTAGTTTTGTCGTATTTTTTTGTATATAGTAATATTTTCCTGAATGCCGTAAAATATTTGAATGAATAAATCAAATTATTTCCTTACTATTGTGGTCAAGTTCTGAGCCTTAATGATCGAAAGTTTATTTTTTATCTTGCTCAAACGCCTCGAATTTTTCTGCAAGACGGCGACATCCGGGGGGGTCCTTATTTGTGCAACTTTTTCTTCCAAGACGGCAATATGCTTTGGACAAAGACCTTTTATCTCGTAATTTTCCTAAATTATGAAATATTTCATTTGAAATATTTAAGAAACCTACTTAATTTTATAATCATTTAAATTTTATTTTTTTAGTGCACACTTACTCCGTCCACGGAACGATCTTGAACGCTTTGCTGACTGGTACTGGCACCAAGATCTCCCTAAACAGTGAAAAAATCCACAATATGTAGTTAATTATTTGCGATGTTACATACCTAATTCAGTAAATATGTGTACATTTAACTCTCAGGATTAATTAAAATATTTAAATTACCGAAGTTTCTCCCTCTGGTCGTCCCGTATTATTTGTCTCGTTGTACTGCTCCTGCATCCTAGCAGCCCATCGAGCTCGAAGCGCATCATCATCTAACCTCCCTGATTTACATAATATGCATTCAATTATTATTCTAAATCTTTAGAAAACAAAATGTGGAAACTTTCTCTAATTGAATTACCATCGTTTCCAGAACTGGTGAGGGGAAGTACTGCTCCTTCTTCTGACGCCATGGTACTGCCCAGCGGACATCCGTCCCGAATCCCTAAACGTTCCGCTTTCTCGTTCAGCTCGGCCAGGCGCTTGAGCCGCGCGGCATTCCTGGTCGCCGTGGAGGCCGCCTTGTATCGAGATTGGTGGCGTTGGACGGCAGCAAGTCGGCCTTCTTCGCTTCCTTGTGAATCGGTGGGGTACATTTTATTGTAGGAAATATTCTCGTGTCGAATTAGTTGAATGGTTTGGAATATGTGGCTGGAATGGAGGAAAAGAATGGATAAAATTCATAAATTTTCCAGTAAAATCTGGTTAACTTTAAGTGACACGTTTTTATCTACAAGAATGAAATCATAGGTCTGATTGGACAAGCTTGACAAGCTTCTGGCTAAATGATCCAATCGAATTTAGCCTTCCTGGTAAAAATACTTTCCTTCCGAAGTTAATGGTTCTACGTTAAAGTTTAGAGGATCAAATCGCCTACAGGGTCAACCTTTCAAAAAAAGTTGTGAAGTATATATGTATTTATATACATACATGGTTATATGTAAGCGCTGGTCAAGTTAGTGCCATTAAGGCATCTTATGCATGTAAAGGACCAGACGTGAAGGGTGTGATGGGAATTTTGAGTCAAAATTTCTGGCCCCATAAATTCATATGTGCTGTACATGTACTACATATCATTTATAAATAGATTCCGGATTAACCCTAACTCCCATGTTGGTCACATGCATTATGTACGCCTCAAAAAGTTTAGGTATGTACGTATGTAAATATGTGTAAGTCTACCTAGTCGTATACACTCAAGTGTCAATGACATATAGCTTTATTACTTTTGTAGTTCTCAACTTAGCAATTTTTGACTAATTTTACTGAAAAGCCAGATAAATTTCAATTCAAAAACAATTTTTAGTCTTAAAAATTTCCTCCTCCTGCGTCAATGCTACGCTAAATTTTTGCGACCACACTAACACGACCACTCCTCGATGGAATTACGCACCGATTCCAGGGACATTTTGTGGCATTCCGGGGTCAGAAATTTTTTCCAAGCCTCCGCACTTCTACGGCGCTTAGAACACACCTTTGTCCCTAACTTTGACCATTTTTCATATTCCGGTGATTCAAATCCAGAAAGGATGATGACCATTTCTGATTGGGGATAAAGACCGGAATTTGTTTTTTTTAGCTACGCTTGGGTCATTTTTTGCACTATAAATTCGTGCTGAGTCCTGCTGAGAGGTCCCATCGATTCCATTGAATTGGATCTCACTTAGGGGATGTACCACGGACTCAAAAAAATTTATTCAGAAATTTGATTCCCCCACCTCCCCCCAATTTTCAGCAAAATGTAGAGAAATTACCCCAATTATCTCCCATCTGCAAAAATCATCAAAAAACCTGGATAATGTGACTTTCTGACCTTTTGTCTATATCGGGGGATGTCTCTGACCGATTTTGCGTAGATTAGGACAACTCGCTTGTTAAAAGATTTTTTCGATGTGAAAATCTCCTCATTTGTAAAAATAATCCTGCTCACTTATTTTGGAGCGTACCGCTTGAAGTGACTGCTGCATTTCTTTAATCTAGCTTTCCTTTGGGGTTCGATCAGGCTGTGGCAAGTACCACATTTAAAAGTCCTAAGTCTAAGGTTCAATTTGAGCACTCATTGAATAATTTGCATCGACACTGTCAGCAGTGAGCCCGGTTTCCGTTGGAATTTCGTGAATTTCTACGGATTCCAGGCTTGAGAGGCTTAACGATGGGTGTGGTCCTTGTTGGTTTTCAAAAAATTCTTCTTCGACTGTTCTTTGTCGATACGGTCCCCATGAACCTTTTTATAGTCCGTTGGGCTAAATTAAAGTATACCTTTGACTTTTTCAGCACATGTCAAATTCACTATTTTTCTTGGATTTTTTTTTTTGTGAAAAACTATTGCCGCCTGCTTCTCTTCAATTTCCTATATATTTATCCAGATGTTCAAAAATTACAAAGTCCATAGTGAATCATAATGTAAATCGCATGGCGAATCTAATGCACTTATCAGATTTTAATTCTGTGGCGTAGTTTTTTAGCAATCAGCTATTGACACTTGAGTGTATACGACTAGGTACAGTAGACTCCATATATCTGCATACCCTATGCATGTGCTATGCTCTGTTGCATATAAAATCTCAACCGATTATCCAAATTTGAAACAACTAGTATCAAATTGCAGGTAATTTAATGGGGACTTGAATTTTTTCTAACTAATGCCCATAACTCGTGTTAGTTGTGGAACACATACTGAAATATAAGATGACAAAATTTCGGCGCGCAAAAGTCTGCGTACCTTTCTGCAATTCGTAAAGTAAACAACGTCCCCTGATTTGTTTGACCAAGGTAAGTTAATAAATACATTTCAGAGATTCATAACAAATATTTTGTCACTCGTTTTACCGTAGGTCATGATGGCGCCACCACGGAGAGAGATTTCCATAGCCATCCGCGATCGGATTATCCAAGATTGGAAAGGTGATGAAAATGGGCGTCTGGGATACAAAAAATTAGGCGAGAAGTACAAATTAGCTAAATCGACGGTCCAGAGGATTGTTACAAATTTCAAACTCACTGGATCAGTGCAAAATAAGAGAAGAAGTGGACGGAAACCAAAGTTGACCCAGAGAGAAGTCCGCCATGTCGTGAAAAAGGTCGTAATATCTCCTTCACTAAGTGCTCCGAAACTTGCAACTGAGGTCGAGGAGATGTTTGGGAAGAAGGTGAGCCACAATACCATCCAGAGAGTACTACACAAGCAAAACCTAAAGTCCCGACCAGCAGTTCGAAAGCCTCTCATCTCAAAGAGAAACGCAACCAAAAGACTTCAATTTGCACGGGACCACATTTCCAAAGGCCAATCATTTTGGGATAGCATTTTATGGAGCGATGAGTCGAAATATAATGTGTTTGGGTCAGATGGACGTCGACGAGTGTGGCGACTACCAAATCAAGCTTTAAATCCCAAGAATCTCAACCCTACCGTAAAGCACGGAGGTGGATCTGTGATGGTATGGGGGTGCATGGCGGCGAATGGGGTTAGAAAAATGGAATTCGTGGACGGAATTATGGACCAGTTCAAATATCAAGGTATACTTGACCGAAATTTGAAGGAATCTGCCAGGCAACTTGGACTTGGGAGAAGATATACATTCCAACAGGACAATGATCCCAAGCATTCTGCGAAGTCCACCATGGAATACTTCAAAAGAAATAAGATTGTCAAATTGGATTGGCCTCCTCAAAGTCCAGATTTGAATCCCATCGAGCATCTTTGGGAACACATCGAAAGAAAAGTCAGAGAAGAGTCATTTTCTGGAATTCCAGGGCTTAAATCGAGGATAGAAAAAGTCTGGAATGAAATTTCTCCCGACGTGACCAGAAATTTAGTGAGCTCCATGACCCGGCGTCTTGAAGCAATTATTAAGGCTAATGGGGGTCCAACTAAATATTAAAATTGTTTAAGCTAAAATGTCTTGCTAAATTTGAATTTTAAATTATTTTTGCTCAAAGGTACGCAGACTTCTGCGCGATTTTTTTTGCATTGTTTGTCTACAGTAATAATTTAATGAGTAATAAATTTTGATGGCAAACACCATTTTCACCGTTTGTTGTCCACTAAATTCTGCACAAATTAATATTACTCGTTCCAAATTCGGATAATCGGTTGAGATTTTGCATGTAGTTGAGCATAGCACATGCATAGGATATGCAGATATATGGAGTCTACTGTATGTACATATTGATATTTACATAAAGTATGTATGTATTTATGAATACATCCTTATTGCATCGCCAACTTTGTAAAAGTTAGTTACAATGCATGGCGTAAAATCCCTCAAGTTGTCAGGAGCCCTTGCACTACGGATGTGACGGATTTTAGGAAGACAGCATATCCTTCAGATATAATTTGATTCTAATATTTCTGTACATGTGTATCTCGAGGCAATGTAGGTAAAAAATGTTGTGTGAAATACCTGTAGAAATAGCTCCCATTCTTTATGCATGCTCCTCATTTGCAAAGTATTGTTATGTACTGAATATGAACCTTTGTTAACCATTTACCTGTGCAATGCACGTATGCATACATACATATGTAAGCGGACAGAGGAACCCTTGATTTTGAAATGCCTTTGTCCCTAAATCCAGGATTCTTTATCACACCACGTTGTTCGACACGTGTTCTTATTTTAGAGCGTCCACATGCATACATGCGTAATGTATATGTTATATCTGACTGGAATTTGTCTTTAGTACAACTAAAAAGCTTAAATTGAATTTAGCTTAAACCGTCACACATTAAACTCACTTCCTTACGAGTTTACGAAGAAGAAAAAAAAACACTGAAAATCTGCAAGAAATCCTAAATAACTATGTAAATTTTTAAATTACTAAATTAACTAATTGTATACGTTTTGTGACACGTAAAAATGTACATACTCATCTAAAAATTTTAATCGTTTTCATAGAAGTCGATATGACGCCGCCACAAATGGATCCTCTCCCCATAAAATCTGCCCACAAACCTGACCAACACACCCCCACGGACCCCTCCTCCCCCTCTCTCATCCCACCTCCACCCCCGCCCAAATCTCCCTCGCGTCCGCCATCCTCTCCGGAAAGGACGACCTTGCCCGCGCCCTCTACGCCAGAACATACGCCAAGATCTCCACTGCCACCTACGACTGGGCCGTCATCGTTCTCATGCTCCTGCTCGGGCTAACCTCTGACCTCGTCGCGTCCTACACCAACCCCAACTCCACCGCCGAATTGGACACGGTCTTTGTCGGTATCGCTTCCTCCCTGATCATTCTCGTGTCCCATGTTGACGCCTGGTTTAAGCATCATTATATCGGCGCAGACGCCGCGATCGGGGTCGTCTTTGGGGTGCACAGACTCATTCTTTCGATCCGGACGGGGTGGGCGTGGGCTAGTTCCGTTTCCGGTTCCGGGGGGATTATCCTGCCCGAGTGGATGTTCCAGATTTACACCCTGGTCATGATTTTTATTGGGGAAAACCACGTCAGCACGGCGACAGCGGTCATTTTGTATGTAAATTTGGCGTTGTACTGTATAATTTTGGGGTTTCGGTATCCCCTCGTTACCATGGCGATTGTTTTAGCGAAGGTGCGAGGGGGACGGGAAGGTATGAAAAGGTTGGATGAGATTGTGAGAAGATGGAAGAATTGGGTGGCCGCCGGATTTGTGGTGTTGCTGGGGGTAGTTTTTGTGTATGTGGAGGTTAAGGAGAATTCCGATGGGGTGGCGGTGTTACAGGAGAAAATGGAGGGATTGAATTTAAAATTGGGGGTAGGTTTTATGATTTTGTGGGGTCTTTTAGTCGGGACGGTGGGGATTGGTTGTTGGAGTTTGGTAAATTTGTGGGGGTTATGGGTGTATTTGAGGGGTCGGGTTTTTCATGTCAGAAATGTTTGATTAAAAGGTGGTCTTACGCATAATACACATATTTTCAGAATTTTATGGTTTGCAAAAAACTAAAATTCGTGGCAATTATTAAATCTCGCAATTGTATTAATAAAGGAAAAGATAATTATTCTATCATTTCTGATTCAATAAAAGCTTCATAATTTTTGCAGGTTACAATTTTACTAAACTTTTGCCTCATGATTTTTACTACATAATTACAATGCGTGTACCTATTTACGTATTTAATACGTTCCTGTTTCTTAAAGTAATACATTTAAATGTATATGTAAATAAAACATTAGTATTTATGTATCTGCATATATGCGTAAACTAAAATCATAACCAAATACTTTTTTTGAGACATATTTTATCATCAATTCATACCATACTGTTCTATATTTGCATGCATACATATTTACAGAAATTCTCATCATGCCATGGTTTCTAAATTATTCCTAAAGTAGTAATTTAGTATAAATTATACTTTAATTTTGTGGATCATTTAAAGCGTAAAAATATTTGAAATAAGAATTTTTATTTTTATTCTGAAACCCTACAAATTTGTGTACACTTTTCATTTTTTTGGGTGTACATATTAAACTTTCAAAAACATTTTTCTGTACTAATTTCTTGCAGGTGCTTTTAACAGGAGGAACACTGTAAATATACAGTGCACTCTGGTATAGCTGAGTCAACAGTAAACACTGGGAACTACGTTTGGGGCTATCCATATATTACGTGTTCAAAAATTCTCGGTTTTAGCACCCAACGTGTACATTAATCGATAGGGAATTTTAACATGGAAAAGATAGGCAGCCCTAAACTACCCACCCACTAAAATGATGACGTAATATATGGAGGTTCCAATACTTTCTATCGTTTCACCGGTGGAGTAGGCATGGGTTGATGGAGAAAGCGCAACTGAGTCAGCAGATGGGATTTATGACAACAAAATACACCCAAATATACTCCCGTGAGAAGGCAAGGTTTTAATTCTCAAAATTCTCGAATAAAAATCTCGAACAAAAATTTGACGCAGACGGTACTGGTATTACGGGTAAAGGGGTGTCACTGTTAGACACCCCTAAGTGAGTGACAAGTGGCGGCTTAGTTTAGTGAATGAGAACGGGAGGTTCGAAAATGGGAAGAACAGAGGGAGACGTAAGTACATTTTAGCTTAACAATTTTCAATTTATTATTTAAAATTTGATTGCTTTAGAATCCTCAAGTTTTAGAGGGAAAGCCTCATCCTGATCATTACTCAAGCGTTTTAGGAAATGAACGTAAGTTTGTTTTTATCATAAAGTGATGTAGTTTTGAAGGTGCTAGTTGTTAATATTGCGACATTTGTGTTGTCATGACTGCACGCATTGTACAAACCTGGGCAGACGGAAAACGAGAAACACAGGCCGAGGACAGTCAAGGGGGAGAGGGTGTGGTCGGCTGCGGAGAAAAAGGTGGTTTACTCTACTTATTATATCGTTGCTATATCTACTCTATTTTTTTTCTGTATATGGTAAATAAACCGTTGCAAACGAAATGCAGCAATGGGGTGAAAACACTGAATTTTCCATGTGGACACACATCGTCTTCCAATACTTTCCATTGATCATTGTCTCACATCACCCTTCGTGTCCTTTCGCCTCGATTGGACATTTCACCCGCGTAGTTTGAACGTACTCAACCATACCTTTCAGTAGATTCGCACATGACAAAATTCAATTTTTCGACCTTGGGCCCGCCTACAGGGTCATGTAGTCCTCACACGTCGAGATGCTGAGGATTTCTGAAATCCTCGCCAAAACCGGCGTCTAAAACCGTCGAAACAAAAAATTCGACAATTTCGACTTCGGCGTCGTGTACACCAGAGAGCTGAGTCGGTGTTTTCAGAAATCCGAACCGATGTTTTTTGGATGAATAAAATATGCGATCCGTTTAAAAAATATCCTATCGGTTATTTGGATTGGAAAAAAATCCGATCCAAGGCGCCGTGACCTTATGACCTAAAACGCTAATCTTCCAAGTTGTCCTTTGAAAATTAGAAACACGTTTGCGGAAACCGCGTGTCGAAATTCTAATCCGTTCTGATGGGGGTATTCACCGCTTATAAAGGTACCAAGAATCCCCATTATGTATTTATTACGTAAAACTCAATTGTCCGAACCCCGCCACCCACCACCAACAACAGTCGTGACCATCTCCTCGACTCGCCGTGTTGACGTTAACTTCTATTAAGGGATGAAACGAAGTCGCTTATGGGAATGTGTTGTCCGTCTGTCTGTCTTAATCCACGATAGCTTCAGAACGGATTCGAATTTCGACATACGTTTTTCATTAACGTGTTTCTAATTTTTAAAGTACGCACAACTTCAAGCTTGACTTTCGTAACTTTCACTTCCGGGACGGACAAAGGATTGGGACGGGCAGATTTACTTTCACTTCCGTTACCAACAGACATGCTCGCTTATAATATAGATTAAAATACTGAGAAAATTTCCACATAATATGAAATATTTTAGCACACGAAGTATTAAATGACTTGAGCAAATTTATATATGCGACAATCTTTGACAAAAATTTTAATTTTTTAACAATGCAGCAAATCAACTTTTATACAAACGATTTTAAATTAACCTCCTCCCCCGTGAACAATCGTGAACATTTTATCGACCCGCTCCCCCATAAAATGTCTGAATAATGGTATACGGAGGCCAGCCACCCACCATAAGCCACCCACCAAAAGCTACTCAACAAAAGCCACTCCCCATAAGCCACACTAGGAAATAAGCCACCCCAGGAAAAAACCACTCACCAAAAGCCACCTTCCATGGGCCACCGTAGGAAATAAGCCACTTATAGAAAAAGCTACTCTTATCATCTTCATTGATAAAACCTAGTTCAAACAATTTTGCGGGGCCTCTTAAGATCGCAGTATTCACTGAAAGTCACACCCGTACCTAGTGGACTTATTCTAGCTGTAACTAGCTCTTAACGGCAAAACCACTGGAGATAATCAAGATCTGATAAGCGCATTGGATTCCCCGTGCGATATTACATAAATAGCACATGTCCGTTTTTAATTACTCGCAAACCATATCAGCAGGGAAAATCTTGAAAGGACGCGGCCGGCGATAATTTTTGACAAAAATGCGAAGAAAAATAGTGAATATGAAAAGTGTGATAGAAATCGAACGTGCACTTTAATTTAGTCTAACGCACTATAAAAACGTTCATGGGGACAGTATATACTAAAAACAGTCGAAGAACGATTATTTGAAAACCTCCAAGGACCACACCCATCGTGAAGGCGTTGAAGGATATAATCCGAAAAAATTCTCGAAATTCCAACGGAAAATAGCCTTACAGCTGACATTGTAGATTGCACATTATCCAACGAGTGCTCAAACTGATCCTTGGACTTAAGGCTTTGAAACGTAGCACTTACCGCATGCTGATTATCCCTCAAAAGAAAACAGGGCTAAAGAAATGCAGGGCTCTCTTTAAGCGGTACGCTAAAAAGAGTAAAGAAAATTCTCGTTCCAGATGAGCGGATTTTCACTGTGAAGGATTTTTTAAAGAAACAAAATGACTTCGTCTACGCAAAATAGGTCAAAGATATCCCTCAACATAGAAAACAGGTCAAAAGTTCTCATTATCCATGTTTTGTGGTGATTTTGGCAGATGAGAGCTGATTAGGGGTAATTTATCCTCATTTTGTCGAAACGGGGGGGGGGAACGCGAAAGAAAAAAAATCTTTGAGATACGTTTTTGAGGCCGGGGTGCATCCCCTAAATGAGATCCAAGCCAATGCAGTCGACTGGACCTCGCTACAGGACTCAGTACCAGTCAATATTGCAAAAAATGAGCGAAGGGTGGCTAAAAACCAAATTCCGAACATTATCTCCGCTTGGGAATTGTCATGCTCCTTGTTGGATTTGAATCTCTGGACTGTGAAAAACGGTCAAAATTAGGGACAAAGGTGTGTTCTAAGCCTCACAGAAGTCTGAAAGCTTTAAAAAATTCTTTGACCACCAAATGGAACAATTTGTCCACGGATTCCGAGCGTGCTGCAATCGAGGGCTGTAGGCCGCGTCTTCAGCTCTGCATTAATGTTGGGGGAGGAAATTTCGGAAACCAAAAATTGTTTTCTACTTAAAAATTAACTGGCTTTCCATTAAAATTTACTAGAAATCTGTAACACAAAAACTGCTGAAGCTACAGCGCTTCATTTCACTTACAGTTACTGAGGGCCACCCTGTAATATAATTTCGTGATATATTTTTGGTACAAACAGTCACAAAAAACGCGGATTAAAAAAAACAATCGAGAGACTGTATTCAGATTGTTAAATATTAAATCAGCTATTTAACATTACAAATTTTAGGAATGAGAGAATGGTTAGGCAATGGGTTATAAGCGTCCCGAGCCCTTTCGGTGCCATTAAAATTTTAAATTGATGTTAAATTCTGCTGAGGTCATGCTCCCTGAATAATAACTGAAGGGACCCTGGTAACATTTTTGTGCATTCCAATGACAAGAAGGCTAGTAAGTATTTTTTATAAATGGGACCGATGCAACAATTTAAAATTCTCATATTAGAAATTATTTGTGGACCTGGTTCTAAAATATACAGCAATGTGGATAATAATAATAACATGGTAGCCATTGCGACACCTTAATAAAATCTATCCCAGAAATATTTTAGGTCAAATATTTGAATTTGGAATATGTGCAAATTTTTAGCATTTGTTTCAATGGCAGATCCAGAGGCTCGGATGGAAAACATGGAGGCCTTACTAAAATATATTAAGAATGTAAGTTTATTTTTAAATGTTTTGTTTTGAAAATAACGTTTGAAAACAATAGAAACTTGGAGTTTTGGAACGACGTCAGCAATATCGAGACGATCCAAGCACAGCGTGTAAGACCTTTCTATTATAAAGGGGCATGACTGGTTATTATTAAAATTTTGTTATTAGTTTTTGAAGCAATTTTTGGAATGTACCCAAGAATGTGGGAAAATGGATGGTTTCGAGGAATTGCTTTATTTGTCTACGGGGTCATCATCGTTCTCCTTGGAGTTTACATCAAAGAGTACGGTCTGTGTGCAGAGAGGACGTGGATTGATTTGTTTTCCATTGCCTTCATGGGTGTGGTAGTGGGAAATGTTTTTCTCCTGATGGTGACAAAGATTCTGGAATTAATAGGTAAAAACCATAGTTATCTAGTAATATAAATAGAGGTACTGGGATTGTACTTTGTTAAACGATCGTGCATAAAAACATAGACCCAACCAGCAATATATCAATTTTAGGGGGTCTTGAATGAAACATTAATGAAAAATTGAAAGCATTTGATAAAATCCCTCAAGGGGAGGGGAGACAACTATTGTGCGTTCAACTTAAGTTGAATTATTTCTTTACTATGGTCTCCTTTCTCCATGTTAATCAAGTGGGCAAATGAGTGGAAAATTTATTTAAATGATTTCCATGATAATATTTGTATATATTATGTGAGGAGGATTCCTACCCATGGAGGTAGACATCCAGCTGCGCAGGTCACCAGTTGGGCCTATTGCAGAAAAGATTGTCTAATAAGGAAACATAATAAATTATGTCCTCTAAAAATTTCAATTCTTCATACCCTACCTCCCTGTTAGTAACGGGGGCTTACGGATCATGGCCTCCCCCAATGGCCTCCCAGTAATAACCTCCGACCAATAGCCTCCTGAAGAAATTGGCCTCCCTTACCAATGGCCTCCCAACCAATCTCCTCCCAGGCCAATCGCCTCCCACCCAATATCCTCCCATGATGAATACACGCATTGTTTTTCATACTTAACTTATCCAAATCTTAATTGTGTCATCATCACTATTTAGTCATCAGCAAGAGAGCGTTATTCGTCAATATGTAACTAGAAATACGCACTTTTACATATTAGTGATGAAAACAATGTACGCATACCAGGGTTGGCCAAGATAATTTGTTTCAAAGATACAAGATACAAGATACAAAATATTTTGAATGAAACCCAAGATACAAGATACTAAATACAAATATTTCGAGTTACACAAGATACAAGATACAAGATAGATTTTACCTGCTGTGATCCCAGATACAAGATACAAGATATTTATTTGAAATAATTTTTTCAAGACACAAGATACTTTATTCAGAGCTTGCAAAGAAATAACTATGCACCACTTGATTTTTTGTATTGTAGCCGAGTAACTTGGTAATAATGATAGTATACGACTCATAACTTGCATTATAATTTATAATGCAAGTCCTCACCCTCTGTTTATAATTTATAAACAAATTAACAACTGAGGATTTCCAAAATTTCATATTTATTTTGTGGCCCATACTGATTTTTTAACATTATTCTATCTAGCTGAAATTGTTATTACCAGTATATTCCGTCGAAATTAGGAATAATTGCTATAATGGTGGTACAAATTAGGAATATAAAAGCAAATTAAAAAATTTACCAACGGGCGAGGGTGCATTTACTGTGCATAAATAAATATAACGACGTTATACAACAGAATCTTGCGTCCGGCTCCGCAAAGCTGTACACTGAGGTGTTTAAATGTTCATTATTCCAAGTTTTAATACTACCAAATATACAAGTTTCCCGGTTATTCATTAAAAAAGTATCTTGTATCTTGACTAGTATTTCAAATAAAATATGATTGAAATAAATTCTCCAGATACAAGATACAAGATACCAAATACTTTTGCGAAACGTTCAGATACAAGATAAAAGATAAGATAAACTCCGTTACACAAGATACAAGATACAAGACATATCTTGTATCTTGTATCTGATATCTTGTATCTTGTTAAATTATCTTGGCCAACCCTGACGCATACGAACCAGTGTAAAAATCAGACAACCACTCCCACATAATCACCATCAGATAAGCACACATAGATAATCACCTTCTGACAACCACCCCCAACTAATCACTGTCTGACAACCTCCCAGATAATCTCTCTCGATGATGACACAATTAAGATTTGGATAAGTTATACATAGTAAGTATTAAAAACAATGCGTGTATTTATCATGGGAGGATTTTGGGTTGGAGGCGATTGGCTTGGGAGGAGATTGGTTGGGAGGCCATTGGTAAGGGAGGCCAATTTCCTCAGGAGGCTATTTGTCGGAGGTTATTACTGGGAGGCCATTGGGGGGAGAGGATTTTCCGCAATTCAGTAACGGGTTATACCCCCTTTCAAAATATGGCGCAAATAGGCCTGACACGGAAAACTTCTACCTTAACACCCCCAAGCCGTGACATAATTTATGAACATCCCTTCAACAAGATCCAGAGCCTGGTTAATCCGGGATTAAGGATTGAAATTGGGATTGGGATTAGGGATTAATTAATCCCAATCCTCAATCCGTAATTTTTTACTTTCAATCCCTAATCCTCAATCCCAAGAAGTTTGAAATAAATAATCCTAATCCCGGAACCCATTGATTAATCCTAATCCAAGTTTGTGATTAAAATGGGATTAAATCAGCTCCACCTGCTGAAAATTCTCGGAGACAATACCAATTCTCCTTTTGTTTCAATCAGAAATATATATGTCATAACTATTTACCGAAAAGAATGTAATTAACGACCCCCTATCATTATGGGTTTTGCCCCCTATATTGTGGAAATGGACCCCCATTGATATTTGCCCCGACATAATTCAGTTTTTGCCCCCTAAGTATCAAGCGAATTTTTTTAATTGTATTTCACAAACAATTATTGTAAAACAAATAGCTCGTGTATTAAGAATTATTGATAAAACTATTTCTGTCCAAGTTGACTTCGGTGACGACTTTATAAGCGAACTTACTTTATGCCACTAATGTGTACAGTACATATTCGTATGGCCGTCCTAAAGTGGGAGTGCCCACTCACACTTTAATGTTAATCAAATGGTGACTTATGTAAGTGACCACTCACACTTTAGATCAGTATTTATGCGGTCATTAGTCCACGGTAGAATTGAAATTCAATCACACGTTCCTGACTTCTCAAACAATATAACTAAACCAAAGCAAACATCAACTAGATATGCGACTCACGATAAATACTAATTTAATACTAATCCGGGATTAAAATCGGAGTAAATTAATCCTAATCCCCAATCCCATTGAATGACTCGAGAGATTTAATCCCAAATTAATTTTAAGGCCGAGTGTAATTAATCCCTAATCTCAATCCTAAATCCCGAATTTGAAAAAATCAATCCCTAATCTTAACGATTAATCCCACTTTTATTAATCTCAAGGCTCTGACAAGATCCAAAAAAAGGGAATTTTTAGAATTATATAGTAAGAATTGCTAAAGGTATTAAATAAATTTTCCGGAAAAACATTTACTTCGCTAATATCAATTCTTAATTATTTTTTTCAGCAATCACTAAGTTTAGACTACTTTAGGTAACGTAGGACTTTTACCCCCTCCACTATTCCCTTTGTCACATCCTGCAACTCCGAGGGCCTTTATCCCCTCTCGTGTTACATATTTATGAACGGCCCCCAAGTCCATCAGCTTGGTAACAATTAACTCTCATCATCAGTGAGTCAACCATTAAGGAGGAGGCACCCTCCTTACGTGAAATGCCCCACCGTGATATTCGGCTCAATTTTTGATATGTTGTACATCTCGACGTGCTGAACAAAAAATGTATTGGTCCCTAAGCCCTAAGTGACCTGGTTCGACCGGAAACAGAGGTCAAAGGTCAGTGCACTTTTTCGCTCGAAACCCCACAAACCGTATATTTTCGGAAAGTTACGGACCTCACAAGTCCGAATATACACCATACTTGGGTCAAAGGTCAACCCTTGACCCTTCAAGGTCAATCCTTGACCCTTCGAGGTCAATCCTTAACCTGTCGAGGTCAAGTATGTCATTGAGGCAAAGTAAGATTTTTTGGGAAAAGTGGCCAAGTACATTTCTGATAGGATGACTGCACCCTTGCTGGAAAAGGTCATTATTACATAGTTGGTTAACACTACATAATCAAGATCAATAAACCCAAATGATAGTGTTAACCAACTATGTAATAATGACCTTTTCCAGCAAGGGTGCAGTCATCCTATCAGAAATGTACTTGGTCACTTTTCCCAAAAAATCTTACTTTGCCTCAATGACATATTTGACCTCGACAGGTCAAGGGTTGACCTCGACAGGTTAAGGATTGACCTCGAAGGGTCAAGGATTGACCTCGAAGGGTCAAGGATTGACCTCGAAGGGTCAAGGATTGACCTCGAAGGGTCAAGGGTTGACCTTTGACCCAAGTATGGTGTATATTCGGACTTGCGAGGTCCGTAACTTTCCGAAAATATACGGTTTGTGGGGTTTCGAGCGAAAAAGTGCACTGACCTTTGACCTCTGTTTCCGGTCGAACCAGGTCACTTAGGGCTTAGGGACCAATACATTTTTTGTTCAGTACGTCGAGATGTACAACATATCAAAAATTGAGCCGAATATCACGGTGGGGCATTTCACGTAAGGAGGGTGCCTCCTCCTTTCACAATTTTTTCAAAATTTTAATAAAAAAATGCAAATAATCGAAGCAAGCACATTGTTTCGCAGCAGAAAATAATTTTTCACCCCAAAAATACATTTTTTCTGAGTCTGTTTTTGCACATGATGAAAAATTATTTTTTATTCGACTGCTTGTTTCTTTCCGATTGAGTGATTTTATGAAATACTTTCAAGTTTTCATCAAGGTTTCATGCACGACCCCATAAAATGGCTATCAGGGTATTCCGACCTGGGTTTTAATGGGTTGGGTTTTATTGGGTTTTAATGGGTTTTAATGGGTTGTAAATGAATAAAACCCACTGGGTTTTACCATGTTAAGTGGGTTTTATTTGGGTTTTAATGGGTTTTATTGGGTTTTAATTGAGTTTCACCTTAAAACTACATTCTAGAAGTTAAATACATCTCCTATACGTTAGAAGGCGTTATCTCAATTCATTCTAAAGTAGTCTATTTCATTACTATTCTAGTGTATGAAAATTCGGAACAAATCAACAATTGACTCCATCCTTTAGCATCGCAGATTTCAAGTGTTATAAAGCAAAAATAATTTCCGAATAGATACAAATTCCGAATTATTTTTGTTAAGTTATTACTTAAAACTAATAAAACCCAATAAAACCCATTTAAACCCAATAAAACCCAATAAAACCCATTAAAACCCAAATAAAACCCAATTAACATGGTAAAACCCATTAAAACCCATGGGTTTTATAATTTTTGATTAAAACCCTGGGTTTTTCCGAACCCTGATGGCTATATTGTTCGTTAGGTCTACGTTTGAAGAAAAAACCTTAAATCTAACCAAGCTCTGTAAATATGTAAATTAATTTGGTTATCAAAGACTTTCCTGGAAGGAAGGTGGGCTGCTTTTCAGTCTTCAAGCATTGTCATCAACTACTTTAGTTTATTTCTACCAGAATTACTTCCAGTCTTCAGTAAGCATTCAGTCATTACTAAAAAATACATAATGTCAGGGGGAAAGATAAAACACATAATTTACAACATAATATATTCTAAATTGTGCAGCTATTGGAACAAATTTATTCCCCCAACAATGCAAAAAGCAATTCGCCTATTGTGCTGGCTCATTGTGATTCTAGTGATCGGTGCCTGTTTTATCTACTACGTTGAGGGAACTGATAATCAGTCAAAGACTTCTCTTTTTTTGTTGGCAGTCGCAGTAAATTTGTATTGTACTTTTACATGGGAATGGATACTAGCTGTATTTCGATTGATTTCGATTGACGATGACGAGAGTAAATTCACATTTTATTTTATAGTAACATGAGACTTATTAAACAAATTTTCTACAAAAACTTCTTCTAATTCATGTCCACTAGCAATTAATTATAATCCCTTTTTTAAATCACCAGCTCAATGTAAATTGGAAGAGGAAATCAGAAGCTTGCAAGCTGAAAATGCTCTACTTCGGGTGAGTAAGATAAACAGGACTGAAAAAAAATATTATTTCACTCCTTCAAGTTGTTATTCTGGTTGACCATAACTCTAATTTCAAAAATTCCAATTGTTTATAATTTATGTAGAAGGGTAAATGACGCCAGAAACGTTTCCTTTTCCATGCAAAAATCTCATGAAAACAACCATTGAAAACTGGGCAATCGACAACTGTGACTCTTCACGTATGAGTATGTAACACACTTTCTCCTTGTCCAGTCATCTGGTCCGTGTGAATTTAATGGACAACATTTTTACGTAACAATTTTTTTAATTATTGTGTCGGAAACTTACAAAAACTTCGTAGGTTTTAAGTTAAGTTAGTACAATAATTAGGCTACGGTTAAAAAACGTGGTGTTTTTAAAATATTTTGATCACAAATTTATGTAAATTGCTTGAAACAAAACTAAAATATATTTTAAACATAAATATTTAATTTAAATAGAGTCTTAAATTACAAACTAATAATCATGACGGCTTCAATTATTGTGAAACTCGAGTTGAGCAACCAACTCGACCTGTTACACAATCATCTTATCGAGACGTGCCAAGTTATTCAAGATTTCCTGGAAATTGAAAATGGTAACATGCATTTTTTTAAATTTAAATAATTAAAATGTAGGTTTTTATTCGATTGGATTTTTGTAACGGTGTAAAATGTGTAATAAACATGTAATATGATATGATATAATGATATATACACATGTGCATAGACACGTGGTTGGTTACAGAATTATGCAAAGATTCCAAATCTGGTTACAAATTGTTCAGGCTTATTCTACGTTTTTAAACGTTTGTACTGTAATAAAACTTATTTACATCATTACAAAACCTTACGTTAGTTAATCTCCTCATTTATTTAATGCTTAATTATTCATGACATTCATTTACATATATTTTTGCAGGAGTTGGTCCAACTTCCAGCGAGAATTTAAATTTAAAACAAACCTTATACAAATTTGTGACTCAAATGTCCTCTTTTACCTCGAACGTGACAAGTCTGCAGGTCAAATTGAACAAGTACCAAGCAGATGACGGGGATCCAAAGCCTTATCACAGCGACGTTATCGAAAAAGGTGAAAATATGGAGGTCAAAGTGAAAAAGTACGAAACACACGGAGGTAACGTCAACCACGTTATCAAGAATGCTAAAAACACGCTGCAGCAGGGCGACCTTATCGAGGAAGATAAGAAAAGAAACGGTTACAAGTTTCCACCCGGGCGGGTGTAAAATCAAAATGCAAGAGCTCGAAGTGGTGGCATCGGACGAGGAGGGTGACGACGACGAAGAATGCGAAGAAGAGGAAGACCTCCTCCCGTATGAAATGGAGGAAGTCGAACCATTTCCGGTCGGAGAAGAGGGATACGACGAACACGAAGAAGAGGACGATTTCGATTTCAATTATGATGAGTGTAAGTTAACATAATTTTTACACACATAATGAGGCCGTTCACGCAGGCGTTGGTAACTTTGTAAAATGAAAATCCGTAAGTTCTGTAAATTTACAGGGTTTTACAAAATTTTACGTACGTATTTCCAGGAACATTCGCTTACAAATTTTTGCAAACTTAGAATCCCCTGTTAGAAAAAAGTTGTGAGACAATTCACGCAGTTATTGGTAAATTTGTAAAATCCATGCCCTTTGTCAAATAAACTTTTGCAAACTAAAGAGACTTTACAATTACTAACTTTACACAAAGTACACAAAATTTGAACCTAGTTATCCTCAGAAATATTCGCAAAATTTTGTAAAAGTTTACAGATTTTGCAGATTTTACAAAGTTAACAAGACCTGCGTGAATTATTTTCGCATTACTTGACTCAATAATTGAGATATCATATGTAAACTTTGAAATCACAAGTTTTATAAATAATAAATAATACTGGAAGCCCTGATCTTTGCGAATTTTTGTACACTTTACAATTACAAAGAATGCTAAAAAAGTGATTTTTTTCTTCAAAATTTTAGATCCAGCTGAAACGGGATCTTCGCCCCCAGAATATGAATATGACATGCATCCTGTCCAAGTGGAATATTCTACACCTCCGAATTTACCTGCCGAACGGAAATCTTCCTCCAGAAAGCAAATCATTGGTCTCATCCTCAGAAATATTGACGAAACTCCTATCGTTCAGAAACCTAAACCTGTAAGGTTCATATTTTACGAATACAATTTTACAATTAAAACGTTAATTCATTAGTTAACATTGGACCCAAAAAGCAGCACATTTTTAATCATTTCTCCGCTCCGGGAATTTATTAGCCTTCAGAAAAATTCCAAGGTAACGTAACTGGCTTACATATCTTAATTTAAATAAACTCACCACCATTCTATTAATTAACTTGTAAGTTTGTACAACTTTAGAATCTGAGGCTACAGTTTTTATGTTTAGTTTTTTGGCAAAGATTTTTATGAATCTCCAAAAACTAATTACTAATTTTCGTTGATTGCAAGGTTTCCAAAAGTATATTTTTAACGAAATTCGTTAATAAATGAATGGTAGTAAGTGATTTAAATGTAATTCTAATTATTTGCCAAATGTCAATATTAATACCTTTGCTATTAATTTAAATATATAGATTTTTTAATATGTATAGTAAATATTTTTAATATTTATAAAATTCTCAACTTTTAATTTAAAATTGTAATAAAAGCTGATATTTGTAATTTTGGTGTATAAGTGTAAAAAAATGGCATTTAAAAATTTAGTTGAAGTCATATTTTATATCTAAATAAGTACATATTTAAGCTTGACGGTCAGTTTGGCGAAAGCCAGGTTGGCGGAAAAAACCAATGTGGTAAAACAGCATGTGAGTACCAAATGGCGAAATTATTGTCATGAAATTATTGTCGAAATATTGTATTATTAATCTTCCCTTATTATATGCACACGGGCTAAAATTGATGCATTAAATTACGCGCTAAGATTCAATTTATATATTTACGCACACATTTGCATATGTACCGGCGCTCGTTATAATAATATATATCTGCGTAAATTGTGACGAATCTTGTGGGTAAGAAACGGAAGGATAACGAAAACATTTTGTACCTCTTTATTCAGTTTCACAAAAAAAAATATTCAAATTTAGTACTTATTTATTAGCAAGGCGGTGAACAATTATTGTAGTTATGGAGAGAAGTATACCAGGTGCTGACAGGTGACATTATTTTTTTGAAAAATTGAACTTTTTAAGAGTTTGGGAAACTCGGATTTTTGAGTGGTTGCGATGCGTTGGTAGGTCACTGGAAATGGTAACACATGAAATTCTGAAAGGGAATGATTTCTTTACCTCAGTCAGATTTTTCCAAATTTTTAAAAATTAACGAAATCCACCTCGATTAAACATTCATCACAGAACTGATGACCGAAGTTGAAAAAAAACGGTGTGGGTGGACCGCTGCTAAGTTGGTAGAAGATCGGAATGACCACCTAAAGGTCAAATCCGGGTTAACTGCCCACACCACACTGAATGGGGTGTCAATCAATCGGTCTAGACCATACGATCAATTTGATATATTATAGAATTTTGTGGCATAAGAATTGGCTGTGAAATTCTTGAAAAACTGATATTTTGGAGATATTTCACCTTTATTCAAAATATTCCCTCATATCAATTTCATATTTGTTACCATTTCCAGTGACCTACCAACGCATCGCAACCACTCAAAAATCCTAGTTTCCCAAACTCCTAAAAATTTCAATTTTTCGAAAAAATAATGTCACCTGTCAGCACCTGGTATACTTCTCTCCATAACTACAATAATTGTTCACCGCCTTGTTTATTAGCATAAAAAACTCGATGAGGACATTCATTACAAGTTCGCATTTCGAAATTGCGAATTTTGCGAAGCAACGAAGTGAAGACACTTCGCAAATATCAGTTCGCAGAATTTGGTGATGGAATTTCTAAAATTTTAAAAAGCAAAACTTCGGTAACTATGTAATATGGAGATTTATGGACTTCTCCCATTGGAAAATTTTACATATTTGTGAAAACTATTTTGCGAACTACGTAAATATTTACTAGCCTTGGATGTGCACAAGTTCGCAAATCAATTTTAAAGCTACAATTTTTTGCGGTCTTGTGAACTTTATTTTTTTTGCGAACGATAGTATTAGATCTCGAGACCGGGTTGCAAACAACCATCATTTAGATATTTACAAAAGGTCGGTATTCATATATGACGCTACCAAAGTGATATTCATAAGTAATACGGTGTAGTAATAAATAGCCCAGTATTAAATTTTTGCAATATCGGTAAAAAATTTCTACGGACCGCAGTATAATTTTAATACCAAGCGGCACCAAGTTTAATACCAAGAAATCATTACCAGATTTCTAAGAGTGTACATATATGTATATTGACATCAAAAATCGAATTGTTTACCTTTTTATCTCGAGCGGAATAAACTTCTTTTAACCCCTTCAATTTCCTCCAGTCCGTTTTTAATTGGTTAATTAAAGTAGTGAATTTATTGGACTCGATGAAACCTTCGGCGCAGATTAGTTTCAAATCTTTGCCAAGCTGGGAAAGCTTGGTGCTCTTCTTTTTGGCGTCGTCCCACTCGTTGAGGATCGTGGGGACGAGGTGTTCCCTGCTCTGGAAGGTTCGGATTAGAGGTGAAATGGATTACCAAAACGAAAAATCCATCCAATCCAAAATCCATTTGGATTTATCCAATCCATTTTAAGTTTTGGATTTAAAATATCCAATCCAATCCATAATTTTCAATTAATTAAAAACGCAAACCAGTAACAAAAAAAATCTATATTACCGCGCACTCTTTGAAATTAAACCAATAAAATCAAGTTTAAAAACATTTATATAGTATTTAGAAAATCAGCAATTCATGTATATTAAAAAAATACGACCATGATATATACACCTATTGTTAAATTTCCATATATTTTTGGTATAACAGAACTAGTTGATACGCATATGCACAACCGTAAATCAACAGGCAAAAACTAAACGAAAGCATTAGTGAATTTGGCTCTCCTTTCATACGCCAAATTCACAATTATGTTAATGTTACCGACAAACCAGCAATACACTCGCCTGATTTAAAAGTTAAGTAGATAAATAGATTTTAAAATATTAAGAATGACATAACGTCCTGGTTATGATTTCTATACATAAATTCACACAGTGACGATTCAGAATTTTTCCACAACCAAAAATCCATCCAATCCAGATTTCCGATTATCCAATCCAATCCAATCCATAACTTTTCCATAACCAAAAATCCATCCAATCCAATCCAGACCCCCGACAATCCAATCCATCCATAATCCATGGATTGGATTGGATTCCAAATGGATTGGATAATATGGATATCCATTTCACCTCTAGTTCGGATTGCTCGGGACATCCATTCTCGGAGGAGTGGACCTTCTACCTCGATCCTTTCCAGGGCGGATAACACTCTTTGATGAGAGGTCAGGAGGTTCGATACTTTGTCGAGAAGGGCGGCCTCCCTTTGAACGATGTATTCGGATTCACTGGCGGAACTAGGGGTACGCAGGGTACGTCCCACGTATCGGCCCCCGTCAGGCGACGGCCCCCGGCCTTCGGAGCGTCGGGGCCGTACATATCCTATAAAGTCGGAGGGCCGCCCTCCGACTTTGTAATATATGTCTTACTCAAATTTGTTCAATAATAAATACAACAATTTCCAGAAAAACTCAAACAAGGATATCATAATCAGTTTAATAATTAACCAGGATTTCTTTAACTAGTAAATGTGTTAAACTTTTGGCCCTCAAGCCCACCAACATTTACGTTACAAATTTACAATTTGCCGGAATTTGCATAAATCAATTTAAATATTTAGCTATTTAGTATTTAAATTTGTATGTATTTATGCATTTCCAATGGGAGTTTCCCATGTATTTAGCACAACATCAAGTTTTGATGTCACCGTTATAATTCTGATTTGAATGAAATTCCGCACTGGGTGATAAGTGATAACCACTGTGGGATGATAATGTTATAATATTATTAATATTTCAGAAATACAGGATACGATAATTGTTTTTTTTAATTCACCAAATAATTATTTTTCCAAATTTCATCAAATTGGTAGGAAAAACTTCCACTCAGCGCCAATTTTTATAAAACTATTTTCCCAAATTGTTTTTATAAAATGTAATAAAACAAACGACATCTTTTTAGTTTGTACAATCTTCTGGAATTATGAAAGTGTTTCTAATTTGTACAACCTTTTTAAAATGTGCAAATTGTTTAAATTACAAATTTTTAAAATTGTGCACATCTTGTTTCTAGATTCTCTGATTTTCGAAAATTTGTAATTTGTGTCACGATTTGTTTAAAGAATTTATGAAAATTTTCATTGGCATAGAGTAACGATTTTTAAAGATTTCATATTTTTTTTAATTGCAATAAATTTGAAATTGTGCAAATTATTTGAAATTTCAACAACATTTGGAAAATTAGCTAAACTCCGATAAGGGAATTTACATTAAGAGCAGTTTTATACACTCGAATTCCGGTTTTGTGAAACAAATGGTTTTAGACTTGTCCCAAACACTTTTTTTTGCAAAACCCGGATTTAAATGTGTTACGACCACACACTATGTCGGAGCTAATATTTAATATTTCTCATTATTGAGTTAAGAATCTGTGGTTCTGAAGTACCATACATATTGCTTACTTGGGAATACCAAGTTTATATTTAATTTTAATTTTGTCTTAAATTATAGTTTAGTAAATATATTAGCAAACTTTTTTAAAATTCGCACAACAATAGATTTCAAATTAAAAATCGGGTCACAGCCAGGGTTCGGAAAACCGCGGGGTTTTTGTAGAAAAAACCAACCTCGTGGGTTTTTCCGTGGTTTTAGGGTTTTTGTGGTTTTTTTTAGATTTTGGGGCAGGTTGAACCAGAATTCGCAGAATTATATATTAGAGAAAAACTAATCTAATATACGAATTCAGCATGCAATTTTGACCGTTATCATTGACTTGGATTTACATCGAAAATTCATGTTAAACATGGAAATCTGCAAATATGAAGACCTGAGCAATAAAAGCCCCAAACTCAAAAGTCGATTTGTTGGCGTTAGTTACAATTTTTCTTTGAATATTAAAAACCCCAAACTCCAAAAATGAAAATATTGAAAGCCCCAAACTCAAAATAAAAATTTCCTGCTGTCGGTACTTGGTTGAATTTAAAAATTGGCTAT